TAAATATTTTCATAATTCGTGTTTCGTTTCGTCGAGCACTCATTTAGTACCGGAAGCGAAAATCAAAAGACAGATGCTATTCGCGCTCCTAATTTGTTAAAATGGAAACTGCGCAATAGAAGAAGATTATAAGAATAGGAGTTTTTAAAATATGGGCAGTCAGTCAACAGATTGATTGGAGTTTGTTTTGGTCCGCAGAATTTGCGGACAGCCTTACAATTCACCCCCACTACTAGTCTGTGTGCCCCCCCAGTTTATGTATATATGATAAAAACATGGCCACTCATGACATAAAATTTAAGAATGGGGCTGCCAAAGACATAGAATTAGTAACAATATATAGATGAATAGCTCAGGTAACTGCAGGCAGTACTTAATTAACTTGAATCACGGGCACAGATGCAGTACCAAGGCATAGCTGTTAGCTTGTTGATTAGAAAGCATGTGCTTCTAGACTTCTAGTTCTAGTAATCAAAATCATTTTCAAATTGGCTCTGGACCAACACTCTAACTTGGATAGGTTAGGTTGACTATGCAACCCAACCTTGTTTGAAGGCAAATCTGGGCCGAGGTTCTCAACAACTGATTAGGGTTAGTTTAAGAATGTTGAGTGATTCTATAGCAAGGGTCTTATATATTACCCTTAGGCCATCTCCAACCAATGAGTCAAATCCAAAATATCCCAAATTTTAGCCCAATTCCTCTTTCACTTCAAGAAAATTAAGGGGCAAAAATTGGAAAAAATCCAAACTTGGGGCCAAAATATGCATCCGACTTACTTAGAATTGCCGTACTCAAGAAGGAAAAAAAAACCCCGCAGGATTCTTGTGATGCACACACACTCTGATAAAATTGGGTGATATTAAATTGGTCATTTATAAAGAGAATTCTCAATCCCACCTAAATAAGGAGTTGTGCAAGCCATATTAAAGCCCAATTAAATAAAGACAACTCCCAATCCCATTTAAATAAGGAATTATGGAGGCACTATTAAAAGTCCACGAAATGGCAGCAGGTTTCCTTTTGTTTTGTTTGTTTGTTTTAAAAAAAAATAATAAAGCCTGCTCCAAAAAGACGCTGTTTTGGCCAAGATTTAAAAAAAGAAAAAGAAAAGGCAGCGTGTGTTTTAAAAGCATGGTCCAAAACGACGTTGTTTTGGACACGATATATTTTTAAAAAATAAGTAAATAAGAAGGAAGCGTGCTATGTGCTGCGCAGCACATCGCGCAGTAACACAAAGTTCTCTTAGGCATTTCGTTGAACACCTACACTGCAACTTCAAGGTTGAACAAAGGTGCAATATGCAACACCTCTTATGGATTTTTGGCGGGGTGAGGTGCAGCTGCACCTCCTTGTGCCTTAATAGGTCCGCCAATGCCCTCACTCACAATTCCCTCATTATAGCATTTCTGATGACATGTTTACTAACTTGAAATTAGATCACCATTCATGAGAGCTACTTTTATTATTATTATTATTTTATTTTATACAAACTATATTGGAGGAGGGGAAGATTCAAATATATGACTCAGGTGCACAGGTAAATGCTTTTAACCACGTAAGTTACAAATCCCTTATTTCATGAGAGCTACTTTAAAAACAAAGGAATAATTGGTAGCTATAATTAAAAATCAATTCATAAGTAAGAGGAGCTCATGTAAGTTGTGAGCAAGTCCTAAATGTGAATTCATGTAAGTCTCACAATGAAGTTCACATGCATTTACAATTAGGAATTGCTCACGCGCCGCTCCCAGATTTTACTTACCTTATCTAAATGCAATCCTTGACATTATGTTATTCTACTTAAAGGTTATGATGCAAACAAATTAAAATTTCTAAGGGCCTTGGTTTAGGTTTCTCTAATTGTAGGTCCTTTAGTTTATAGCATTTACCATGTTTTGACTCCTAACACGTGTTGTCTTTCCATACTTGCCCTCTAGTTTCTAGTTTTCCGTATACTTCCATTTGGGCTCCTTAGTTCTATTATTTTTCGATTTTAGGTGAACTAACGTTTAAATTTGAAGCTCACTTTTACCTAAACTTGTGAGTATCAATGGTGATACGGAACTTGGGATTGTAGATCGCGAATATTTATTTTTTTGTGGTGTTGAGAGTTATTTTAGAGTGAGATCTATGGTAAGTTTTCTTCCAATTAATGATGTTTGCTTCCGATTAAGTGAGATTCCAAGTTATGTTCGATGGGGTTTGCTTTGAGTTTGAGTTGTATTTATGATATGTGGGAATATGGATGTATTTGTGGTATGTTTAGTTATTTAGAATGAGGGGAAATCATGAACTGGGAAAGTAAGGAATTGGGGAGAAAATGTATGGGTATGAGATCAACTACTAACTTATGATCAATCTAATTCTTGGTTTGTCAAGTATTAGATTACAAACTTTTATGTAGAACCTATATAATTTTTTATTCATTTTTTTGTTAATAAACACACGGGAATTTGAGAATTAGAATAAGGATTAGAGAATTTGATTTTAGTAGTCGATGATATTTAATATACAAGTTCTAGTGCAATTGCAACAGCCTTTGACTTGTGTCGTTTTTCATCAATTTTAGGAAGCTGTCTTTTTTTGGGTGATGATGGTGATCTGGGATGATGTGTGAAAGTTTTATATATTTCTTTTTGGGTGAAATTAGAATATAGGATTTTTTAAAATAATTTTTTTGGTTGATTTTATAATTGTTATGAGATATTTTGTTTTGTTTTTGGGCATAGGCTTTCGGAGTCGCTTTCGGTTTGGATTTGTGCTTCTTTGGGTCTGGGCCTGTGTTTATTCCAAAGGCACGTCTTGAAATCTTGTAATTTTGGGTTGTGTTTATTTCGCGTCGGGAGGTTATCCTCTCTCCAAGTCCAAGGACAGCATGTAAGAGATTTTGCTGATGAAGTATGTCAATATTCCAAACAGTAAGTCGAGAGCCCTAGAGCAGATCAGTTAATCAGAATGACAATGATAAAGTATTTACAGGCCGTGTTACTTAAAAAATAAAAATAAAAATAAAAAATAAAAAACAATGTGGATGGAGAGAAGTGCAGAAACTAGGATCAGAATGAAACTTGCACATAGTTTTGGCATTCAGTTCTTACTAATTCAGGGTTATCTTGGACACAGATTCTCAAGACATTGACAATGTGCTTCGCATCCATTCAAAATTGGCTCATCTGGTGTCTCAACTTTTGGTGGAAGACACCCTGGTTTATAATGAACCCCTTCAGCTCTGACTGCAATGAAAATGGTAAGAAAAACCTTTACCCCACAATTTACTTATGATTTACTGCTTTACTGTACAATACACCTGCATACATTGCTCTGCAAAAAAAACCACTTGAATGTAAATTCAAGTGGTTTGGTGGGTGCGGTTAAAAGTAAAATTCACTTGAATGTTGATTTATGATACAAAAAGTATGCAGAGTTGATCCTCTCTCCCCTTTTTTTCTCTGCTTTTACAAACTATAGCCCTCATTAAAAGATGATAGGTATGATTATTTTGAAAGAGAATTAGATGGCAAAAATTGTCTTGCCCTTCATCATCTTCGAGCAAAAGCCTCAAGAACAAGGCAACTCTCCATTTTCATGCGAACTCTTTACTGATGAAAAGATTGTTTTTAAAATCAGTTTTTGGGTTCCAAAGAAAGATCCTTTTTCTTTGTGTCCTTCCATCAACAGGGTGATCACCGAAGAATGGAAAGTTTTTTTTTCCTTCTGGATGCTTTTGCTCAGACTGGAATCACATGAAAATTATGTTTCGAGGAATAATGATCATGCCATCATATCACATCATCGTCTAATGAGAGTTTGAAGGGCTAGAATTTCAGAAATAGGAGAGGGAAAAAAGTTGTTAAAGAAGGAAATGTGAAGATCCAGATCCAAAATGCTTCGAAACAATCGTCTATTAACGTTGGGAACCTCAAAGATACGTGTGGATTGTTTGTAGGGTTTAGTTTACAAATAAATTCTACTAATCCAATTCACTTCAAGGATTCAGATCCTTTCTACTTTGTGCAAAGAAACGGTTCGGTCGACAGATTTATATCTTTGTCCATTCATGTCACGGTTTGTTGGTGATGGTTGCTACATGAAAACAAGAGCAAAAAACCATAGAATTTGACATTCCTATATTTCAACATATAAAAAAAAGGACATGACTATTTTATGCTTGAATTCAATACCACCGGTCATAGATTTCCCATGATTTTACCAGTGGTTTCCTGAATTATCAGAGCTGGTGATGCTCACAGAGAAACCAGGATCAATCACATAACTGACAGAATCAAACAAGATACAGAGAATGGAATGAGAACACTGGGTACAGATGCAAATACGTTAGATTTTTTTTAATAGAAAAAAAATTGCGTTAACGACTTCAGGTCATTTCAATGTTGAGGGATTTGTTCGACGAGTTTATGCATGTTCAACATATTAAAAGCTTAGCCAGTTCTTCTAGTTACACACGATCATAGGTACAGAAGTTATATACCATCTTATGAGCAACTACAGAACAAGTTTCCACCGTTGAATCAACTTGATGGGGATTTAGCAAGCAAGGAGGTTTTATATGATGCCTTGATATCCAATAGAACAAAAGGTTTAACAGAAAAAAAAAAAGACTTTAAATATTCTAGAAAATTACAGCAAATGAACGCTGGCATAAGAAGTTCATGAGTTTATTTACAGTGAGAACTAAGAAACCAGTCTACTAGTAGTACAACTCTGATTTGCCATGCAAATTGGAAGCCTAAGATCCTTTAGGTTAAGGGAGGATCATTATATTGAAAATTAAAACCAAATAATTCATGCAGATAGATAAGGAAGTTCCATAATCACCTCATCAAAATGAAATGACAAAGGTTGTGGCAAAAGGTGAATACTTCCTAGAGAGTAAACTGGGAAGAAGTAATACAAAGGCACTTAGGAGGGGAAGAGGTAATAAAATAAAAGTCAAAGAGCACATACAAGATACTGTTGGTGAAGTGAAGAAGATGCTTTCAGTTCAATCTTCTCCTTCTTGGGGCACGAGAATCTCCACTGTCCATGTCCGAAACCCTTGACGCATCATTTCTTCTTCTCGAAGATGAAGTTGAGAGGGAAACCATGGAATCAATTTCCACAGCTGTGTCCAGTTGACTCTCTGAATTTATAACAGCTGCGATACTTGAGAAAGAATCTCTATCATCAACTGGTGCAGGCTGCTGCTGCTGCTGCTGCTCTTGATTTCTACCTGTCGATGTAGGATGGCTGCGGAAATATGCCTCAACTAACCTTTCAGCAGAACTCAATGCAGACGAGAAAGAAGAAAATGCTGCTCTATGAGATTGTGATCTTCGAAGTAGCAATGACTGAAGCCGGCGGTTTTCTCCTGTTTCAAGGCCAGTCATGCTGCCTTGTGTTAAATCCACAACATCATCTGCAAGTGCCACTGGATTTTGCTCTCTGCGCAGTCCTCGAGATGTCAGAATCCTATTTAACAAAGTACTAGTTCTTTCTGCTGTTTCCCGGGCATTCTCAGGCTCCAGTGGCTGAACAATATCCCGAGTCAAATCAAATCTATTTCCTAGACGGCGAATCATCTCCTCAACTGGAAAATTAAATGCACTCCTCTGAATGGTTTGTCTCAGACTTTCAACCCGCCGCGCTTGAGGCCTAAGAGGGATCTTTGAGTCGTCATCTGGCTCACGCATAGTGTTCCCATGACCATAAATTGGGGTCACATTCTTGATAGTTACCTCTCCCTTACAAACTGGACACTCCTTTGCATCTGAATGCACATGTAACCATCGGTAAAGGCATGGCCAACAAAACAAATGACCACAACAAGTTACAACAGGGTCCCTAGCCAAGTCCAAACAAATATTACAATCGAAAAAACTCCCATCATTGCCACTACCCTTTTCAACATCATCCTTATTGTCTGAAGTCTCATTTTCTGAAACCCCATTGTTATTTTCACACGATTTGGGCACGTCACTTGTTCTTTCTTCTGCGGTAACACTACCCTCACCTGCTTGTAATGTACTTGAATTACCAGAGTTGACCATCAATTGATTCAACTCCATGGAAATGTTTTGCCCTTCAGGGTGCGCCCATCTCCAATGTCGGGCCCTAATGCCCACAGGTTCCGCAATTCTGTGGATAGGTGCTTCAATCCAAGCATCCAAATTTACAGGCTCATTTGACGCAGATGCTGGCTCGGGACCAGGACCCAGATTCAGGTCAAGGTTCATTGCGTCAGATGTCTCCTCACCCATCACAAATTGACCCAAGACGCTTATTACTTTATCACTAATCTAACAAACCCAGATAAAAAACCCTTGCTTCATCACAAAATTGAAGAAACCCACATCACAGAACCATAAAAAATACCCAAATTGAACAACAAATCCTCATTTGGTGCAAAGTCCAAAACCCCAAATCAAAAACCCTATTCTTGATTACAAATATGAACGAACTCCCATCAAAAACCAATAAACAGCCACAAAATTGAAGAAACCAATATGGGAAAAAAAAAACCCTAATTGGAGTAAACCCAAATCGGAAACTTCATCCAAAACACAGAAATCAGCAACTCAAAGCTGAGTTTAGGTCATCAAGATGGTGACTTGGAGGCAACGGTTCCATGATATCAGTTTCTATATGGTAATTAGGGCTTCAGAAGCCGATAAATGGAAAAAGAAAAACGAAAATTGAACACCTGGGTCGTGATAAAACGCCGTTGATGGTCAGTTAAAGCTGAAGCTGGAGTGAGCTGAGTCTGGTCCGAGTCGACTCGCCATGGATGACGCTCTCTTCTCTGATTAGCGATCTAGTCCACCCAAGAGGAAGAGGGAGAATGGGTAGAGATAGATTGATGAGTGTGTGCAATGAATTTAGGACAGGGCAGGAGAGAGAAAGACAGAGAGATGATCCTTTGCGTTGGCGTTTAGGAGGTAAGGCCTTGTTTGGAGGATTATGATTGTGATCAACGGCTGTGATGAAGTCTGTGGACCAGCTTTTACCACACATCTAGTGGCTCAGAGTGAGTTCCCACCAGGCAGGTGGTTTCTTGTTTGCAGAACTGGAAAGTGACGTGTAATTGAACTTTCAACTGGCTTTGGAACATCTTAGATACATGGGATCATGTCTCATCACCTCATGCCATGTAGACTAGTTTTTGGGTCCCATGGATATGAATGTGGGACGACTGAGATTTTAAGCTCTTGGGTCATGTTGGATAATGAAAGTGGGACATAAATTCTTATGGAAGTTCATTGTGTGGTTGTAACATGTGATTTTGGAATGGAGGATATTAGAATGGACTTACCTAAACTAAAGTTGGGACATACAGTGTTTCCATTTCTATGAGTTGAATTAAAAAATGAGATACCATAACAGTGGCGGAACTATAAATTTTCTTTAATGAAAGTCGGTCGTGATGAAAATGCTTTTATCTATATATATAAAGCAAAAAGCAGAGAATGGTGAAACATTCAAAATACTATAAAATGCCATTGGTTAATTCAAACATTAAAAAATAAAATTATTAATTAAATGAGAATAATATGATAAATTCACATTTTTTTCAAATTAAAATTAAAAACAAAATCAGATAATAACTCATACTTTTATGGAACATAACTACCAATATTATATTTTTTGAATTCTAAAAATAAAATAAAAAGGAAAAAAAACCAATTGGCACATGCGTGAGCATGTGCCAAGAAGCTAGTATGATAATAAAATATACTTTCATCCATGAAAGACAACATTATACATAGCCACCTTTTATGTATAATAGCATCAATACAACTAACAATATCCACTTTTATGAATTCAACCAAATTGTCTTTTATTCACGGATCAAAATGACATCATTTAGTTAGTGTTGTTGGTGTGAGCCATAATTCAGGGATCTCGTGATCCCTGATTTCTTGGTGTAATTCACGTTACCTAATTAGACTAATTACCTAGTTAGGATTCCTTGTAATTAGTTAATTACTTTTCCTTGTAGGAAAAGTCAACTTGTACTTGTAAATATATTCTCCTCTTGGAGAAATATAATATCAATCACAATTATTCAATCTTGTGCTTAGTTTGAGTTGGTATCATAGTCGGTTAACCCCGGTCCCTCAAACAAAAAATACAAACCCTATTCATCGGCATCTTCTAGCGTCGAATACAGGAAAAAAGAAGAAGAAGAAGAAGATCCAGCTGCCGAGAAACAGTGGCTAAGACCTTGTCGTCACAAACCTAGTTCAGCAAAAGACTCTTACAACACCAATCCATCCAAACTTGTTCTTTCTCCTCCATGGCTTTCGAAGATACCCTAGACAACTCCACCACAACTGCAAAATCCAGTGCTTTTAGTGCTTCAAAAACTAGCAAAAATCTTGACATGGTGCAACCAATTGTTACAGTTTGCAATGATACTTCCGCTGCCCCATTCACCATATAGTTGAATGGGAAGAACTATAACACTTTGTCGAAGATGATGTTGCTTCATGTGTCAGGCTAGGAAAAAAGAGGTTACCTGACAAGAAAGGTGGCTCAAGTGGAGTAAGACGCTTTGACTTTGATTAGTGGTGTATTGAGGAAGCATTGTTAAAGGATGGTTGATAAAAACTATGGAACCTGATTTGGTAGAATTGTTCTTAGATCTATCAACATTTAAATATGTATGGGAGAGTACCGCCCAGATGTATTATGACACGTCTGATGAGTCGCAGATATATGAATTATGGTGTAAATAAGGAGGTCGCGATATTGCATCCTACTTTGCTAAGCTTAAGGGCGTTTGGTTGGAACTAGACCGTCGTCGTCCAATCAACATGAAGTGCCCTAATGATGTGGAGATTCGACGAGCTAAGATACAAAAATACATGATTTTCTTGCAAGTCTAGATAATAAGTTTGATAAAATTAGAAGAGGTTGTTGAGGTTAGTCCATTGCCAAAATTAAAGGAGTCGTTTGCTTTTGTTCTTAAAGAGGCCTAACACCGGGAAACGATGCTTAAGAAGGATAGAAAGACTGAATCCTTTGCTGTCATGGTTTCCAAAGCCCCTGCTGCTAGTTTTTCTTTTCCTTGTCTAACCCTGAGGAAAAAGAAAACATGTATTGCACTTATTGTAATGGGAACCGTCATGCAGATGCCACGTGTTTTCACAAGAATGGGTTTTCGGAGTGGTTCCTTGAACTCCAGAAGCAACGAAAGGTGGCTCACGCGAAGAAAAAAGAATGGTGGGAGCGGTGTAGCTGTTGTTGCCACCACCAACCAGACTTCCGTAGGCTTGGTCTCCGGCGGTACCTCGAGTGTCTCACACCCTTGCCCACGACAGCTCCTTCAGTTGATGATTCTCTTACTGTTCTATCTTAGTTATCCATTCAAGAGTCTGCTGACTGCGAACGTAACTAGGAAAAGCTTTGGTGCTTTCCGACCAATGAGATTCTTGTTGGATTATAGATTTACGTGTTATTGATCATATGACCTATGATAAATCCTTTTTCCATTCTATGACTGCTCCTACCAAAACAAGTGTGGTTATTGCCAACGGCGAATCTAACTCAGTCACTGGGGCTGGTTCCATCACTCTTACTCATACTCTCTCTTTACATAAAACTTTGCTTGTTCATACTTTGTCCCATAATTTATTATTTGTTGGGCAAGTTACCGAATAGTTAGATTGTTGCGTGCTCATGTTCTCTTCTTTTTCTTTGCTTTAGGATGTTCAGACCAGGGAGATAATTGGGGGTGATACTAAGAGAATGGGTATCTGGATGACATTGCAGCGGGTCGTATTCATTAGGTTCGGAGTGTTGTCAGTGAGAAGTAGATTTGTTTATGGCATTGGTGGGCATGTTTCCTTTGGTTATTTGCAGTCTTTAATTCCATCTCTATTTAGAGGAGTAAAAATTTCTGATTTTTAGTGTGAGACTTGTATTCTTGCAAAAAGTCACCGAACGTTTTATCCGCCTAGTTTTAATAAGATTGCTTTGTTCATCAAGGTAACTTGGATCATACCCTATTTATCAAATTTAGGGATGGTAAGATTGCTTTGTTGATAATTTATGTCGATGATATGGTAGTTACTGGTGATGGTGTTGTTGAAATGGGTAAATTACAAAAATACTTAGCATCATAGTTGATATGAAAGACTTGGGGGCTTTGAAGTATTTTCTGGGAATCGATACATCAGGTTACTTCACTTTCATTGGGGTTAATTTGGTTACATGGCGAAGTAAGAAGTAGAATGTAGTGGCTCGATCTTGAGTCGAGGCAGAATACAGGGGGATAACACATGGAGTTTGTGAGCTTATTTGGCCAATGATACTCCTATCCGAAATTGGTTTTTTGTGAGAACCAGTAATATATATATATAATTATTCATACTACATATTAATTATTTATTAATATGAATTTTTCTTATTTAAATATTTATTGTGAAGACTTATATGTTAATAAATTTTAAGCCTGATATGATATTATCCCTTTAGTTGAAAGATGACACCATTCTTATTTTCCACGTGTAGAGACTTAGAATTGGTTTTAATTGAATCATTATTGTCATGCCACCTTGCATGCTAATAAGTGGTGTTGTGATATCATTGGCCAAAAGTGGATGACTCACATTATTCCCTTACTTTTTTTATCTTATCTTTTGGTGGTGGTGTTGTGATATCATTGGCCAAAGGGGGATGACTCACATTATTCCCTTATTTCTATCTTATCTTTTGGTGGTTTGAAATATTATATATATATATATATATATATTAATTGAATCATCATTGTCATGCCACCTTGCATGCTAGTAACAAGTGGTGTTGTGATATCATTGGCCAAAGGTAGATGACTCACATTATTCCCTTACTTTTCTATCTTATCTTTTGGTGGTGGTGTTGTGATATCATTGGCCGAAGGAGGATGACTCACATTATTCCCTTATTTCCTTATATGTATATATAAGGAAGAAAAGGAAACAAGATGAAGAGCATGTGTGTTTGTCTTGCAATATTTCATACTTATCATGGTGAGTGGGTTATGTAATATGTTCTAAAAGTTCTTATTTTGTGATAAATGTGAAAATCATGGGTTTATTCTATTTACAAACCTCTCTCTATTTTCAAGTCAAGCATGTCTAATTTGTACAATATTTCACACAATATATATTATTTGGAGTTTTTGTAAAGTATGTATTATTCATGGAACATGAGAACTTCAGTGACGAGGTATCCGAAGGATAAATGTACCAGACGGGACATAAGGTAGTGAGGCCGATAGGGGTCACGTACTGTGTACAATTTGTGAAGGATAACCAAGATATAAAGTAATGATGTGATATGATTTGGATTGTGTATCTTTTTATTATATTTTAATGACATTACTTGACTGACATATTACATAATCTACTCACTAAGCGGTGGTTTGCTCATCCCTCATCTATTTTGTTTTTCAGATCAATTAGTGGCACTACTACATTTTTCACTTTGCGCGACGAAGAAACTTTCGTCGCGCAAAATACATTATAGTCGCACAAATTTTAGCGCGACAGAAACTTCGTCGCGCAGATTCCGTCGCGCAAAGATCGTGGAGAAAGACTTTGCGCGACGAAATTTTTTCATTCGTCGCGCAAAGAGACTTTGCGCGACGAAAAAATATTGGTCGCGCAAAGTGACTTTGCGCGACGAAACATATTGGTCGCGCAAAGTAACTTTGCGCGACGAAAATATTGGTCGCGCAAAGCGACTTTGCGCGACGAAAAAATATTTGTCCCGCAAAGCCACTTTGCGCGACGAAAAATATTGGTCGCGCAAAACTTTGCGCGACGAAAAAATTTTAAAATTTTTTTTTAAAAAAATTCCCTCGTCCCATTTTTAGTACCCGCCCAAATTTTTAGAGTTTTGCGCGACGAATATTAATGTCGCGCAAATATTTGCGCAACGAAATATTTTGGTTTTTGACTTTTTGTTTTATTATTTCTTTAATATTAATTTAATTATATTAATTATTTCGAATTTTTAATTTTTAAATTAAATTTAATTGTATGATTTTTTTCGTTACTTTAATTTAAATTGATATTAATTTAATTATATTAATTTATTCAAATGTTTACTTTTTAAATTTAATTTAATTACTTTAATTTAAATTGACATATTCAAAATAAAATTACATATGAAAAATAGTGATCAAATTATCCAATAAATATATATATAATATTCAAAATGTACACATAAATTAACAAAGTACAATAAATAAAAAAAAGGGATAATCTCCCCTAAAATTGTTATACCACAAATCCAACCCAAACTCCAATCCCTCCCCTTTACTCAACCCCAAACCCCACACAAACTCAAAACTAACTCCAAAAACACATATTAATGAAAAAAAAATTAAAATTTGGAGAGAATCTACCTTTTGGCAAGATTGAGAGTGAGTGAGAATGAGAGAGAGAAATGAGTGTGAGAGAATTAGAGAAGATAGTGATAGAGAGATGAGAGAGTGAGTGAGAGTGAGAGATAGTGAAAAGAGAGATGAGAGAGTGAGTGAGAGTAAGAGATAGTGAAGAGAGAGATGATGAGAGATTAAGTGAGAGGAGTGAGAGTGAGAGAAATGGTGAGATTTGGGGAGAGGGAAAGAGAGAGGAGAGGAAAGAGTAGAGAAAGACATTGAGAAAATGATGGAGGAGTTATTTTTATTTTAAAAACCGTATCACCTTGCGCGACGAACGACATTGTTGGTCGCGCAAAGCTTTGAGCGACGAAAAATATTGGAGTATTGGTCGCGCAAAGCTTTGCGCGACGAAAAATATATTGGTCGCGCAAAGTTTTGCGCGACGAATATTAGTATAAAAGTAAAAAAAAAAAAATCCCGCGTCCCATTTTTGGTACCCGCCCAAATTTTGAAATTTTTGCGCGACGAAAAATACATATTGGTCGCGCAAAGTCTAAAAAAATTAAATAAAAAAATTCCCGCGTCCCATTTTTGGTACCCGCCAAATTTTTGCGCGACGAAAATATATATTGGTCGCGCAAAGTCTAAAAAAAATTTTTTTTTCCATCCCGCGTCCCATTTTTGGTACTCACCCAAATTTTTAAAGTTTTGCGCGACGAATTGTTGGTCGCGCAAACTTTTGAGAGACGAAAAATTGGTTCATAGCACGATATTTATAAAAATAATTGTTATGAATAATAAATTTATTTTTTTTTACGATTTAAAATATAAATAAGGTTAAAGCTACTTAATAAATGTATATACCAATTTCTTAAGTGTTATACGTACAAAATAAATAAATTTAAAGCTACTTAATAAGTAAATATATATATATATACACACACCATTCAACGATCCAACCGTCAAACTTGTTTGTATATACTTCAAGATCGTATACCCCAAAAATTGTAAAAAAACAAACATTCGGAGACCTAGTAACGGGACAAAAAATTTCAACGGTTCTTAATGAAAAATCACGATTTAACGATTATTTTAACTCCGATTTTGATGATTTTTTACAGCTACACTCCTTGACCTTATATGAATACAATGAACTAATTCGATCGTCAATTTAAAATATTTACACTAGTGGATACCACAAAATCTTATGTTATACTTAACAAAAGTATAAATAAACTCTTAATTGTTAGTGAATATATTGTTTTGATGGCATACGCATTCAAAAAAACAAGTTTCAACGATCCAACCGTCAAACTTATTTGTTTATACTTCGAGATCATATACGCCAAAAATCGCAAAAAATAAACATTCAGAGATCAAGTAACGGGACAAAACTTTTCGACGGTTATAAATGAAAAATCTTGATTCAACGGTTATTTTAACTCCGATTTTGATGATTTTTTACCGCTACACTCCTTTACCCTATATGAATACAATGACTGAATTTGATCTTCAATTTAAAATATTTACACTAGTGGATACCACAAAATCTTATGTTATATTTAACAAAAGTATAAATAAACTCTTAATTGTTAGTGAATATATTGTTTTGATGGCATACACATTCTATGAAACTAGTTTGAACGATCCAACCGTCAAACTTGTTTGTTTATACTTCGAGATCATATACGCCAAAAATCGCAAAAAATAAACATTCAGAGATCAAGTAACGGGACAAAACTTTTCGACGGTTATAAATGAAAAATCATGATTCAACGGTTATTTTAACTCCGATTTTGATGATTTTTTACCGCTACACTCCTTTACCCTATATGAATACAATGACTGAATTTGATCTTCAATTTAAAATATTTACACTAGTGGATACCACAAAATCTTATGTTATATTTAACAAAAGTATAAATAAACTCTTAATTGTTAGTGAATATATTGTTTTGATGGCATACGCATTCTATGAAACTAGTTTGAACGATCCAACCGTCAAACTTGTTTGTTTATACTTCGAGATCATATACGCTAAAAATCGGAAGAAATAAACATTCAGAGATCAAGTAATTGGACAAAACTTTTCGACGGTTATAAATGAAAAATCACGATTTAACGGTTATTTTAACTCCGATTTTGATGATTTTTTTATAGCTACACTCTTTGACCCTATATGAATACAATGAACTAATTCGATCGTCAATTTAAAAAATATATTTTCTAATAAAAACCCAATCCAAAAAACAATAATATATTTTTCTAACAAATATTTTAAAAAATATTTTATTTATTTTATTTATTTTTATAAGGACTTTGCGAGACGAAGTTAATTGTTTCGTCGCGCAAAGTAGCTTTGCGTGACGAATTGTTTTTCGTCGCGCAAAGTCGCTTTGCGCGACGAACTGTTTTTCGTCGCGCAAAGTTACTTAGAGCGACGAATTTTTTTTCGTCGCGCAAAATTTGGTCGCGCAAGACTTTGAGCGACGACGTATTGTCGTCGCGCAAAAGTTGGTCGCGCAAAGTCGCTTTGAGCGACGAAAAAAAATTCGTCGCGCAAAAGTTGGTCGCGCAAGATTTTTAGCGACGAAGTTTTGAGTTTCGTCGCGCAAAGTGTCTTTGCGCGACGAAAAATTATTCGTCGCGCAAAATTTGGTCGCGCAAGGGTTGTTTTGTAGTAGTGTGGGCAATACAAAGCCGAAACCAGAGAAGTAGGATTAGTTTAGAATGATAAAATTTTATTTATATCTTGTACGCTTGTAAGATTATTATAATTATATAAAATGGTAATGTATTTTAACCAATTTTTCAGTCTTTTTATTTATTTCTTTTAATTCACGCACCCTGATTCTGGAATATTCTTGATTTTCGAATCGGGGCGTGACATTTTCCACCAAAGAAAGTCATGGAACTTTATTGTGACAACCAAGTTGTGAGAGAGATAGCAAATAATCCAGTTCAACATGACAAAACTAAGCATGTTGAAGTGGATAAGCATTATATCAAGGAGAAGCTGGTAGATAAGCTAATCGATATACCATTTGTAAAGTTAGAAGAACAGCTGACAGATGTCTTAATGTGTGCGTTATCAGCAAAGGTTTTTCATGACTCACTTGACAAGTTAGGCATATGAGATATCTATGCACCAACTTGAGGGGGAGTGTTGGCGTGAGCCATAATTCAGGGATCCCGTGATCCGTGATTTCTTGGTGTAATTCACGTTATCTAATTAGAATCATTACCTAGTTAGGGTTCCTTGTAATTAGCTAATTACTTTTCCTTGTAAGAAAAGTCAACTTATACTTGTATGTATGTCCTCATCTTGGAGAAATATAATATCAATCACAATTATTCAATCATGTGTTTAGTTTAAATATTGTCATATGAAAATAAACAAATAAATACATCGAAGACCTACTATAACTAGGGGTGAAAACTTATAATTTGATGTCTTATCTCACACATTGTTTTGTGGTTTGAGTTTTCCATTACTTAATTCGAATTCATATTTAACACGATCCACTAAGACAGAATAAATATGTTGAGTTAGTATTAAAAACGAATAACTATATTAATTTTGATTAACCAAGCTTGAGACTTCTTCTAATATAAAGAAGATTTTATTTTACTACAAAAGTTTAATAAAATCATCCTGATTGAAATCATCGTCAACATAATATGTTTAAATATATAACGAAAATGAGAAATTTATGTATACATTTTCCTGCATCCCTCCTTCACTTCTTTAAAGTCTAGTCTCTGTCACCCTCTGTCCTCTCTCTTTAACTAAAAACCAAAAGCAAAAAAGGCGAATATTACCAAATATGCTAAAGATCTTTCTAGTTGTTGATATAAAAAACGTTGATCAAAGATGACTTAATTATTGGACCTAGCTGTGTTCCACTCATGTTCATCACTTTAACCTCCATTGACCTTCTTACAATCCAACCTAATCTCCCCATTACTTCCCACCAATGGACTAATATTTCCCATGTTGATCATTGACTGAGCAAAGCTCTGAAAGAAGGCACTCTGGTTGCTGCTAAAGCTATTAACAATAGAAACTGTAGCAGCCCCGGTCGTTGAAAACAACTCCTGATCTGATTGCAGAAGACCTTGATTGTTCTGCAAGTTGCTGAAGTAGTTATTGTCAAAGCTATCCGGAGTTGTGGGGTCTAAGTTGGCCAAAGCTGTTCCACTCCCATTCTGTGGACATGTTTGCTGGAGAGTGGTCAAGTAGGAAGAGTTCAAAGTTGGGTCAGGATTGCCTGTGCCACTGAAATTGTACAATCGGTTGCTAAATGTTCGACATTGAGCTCGCCCAAATGTATGTGCACCTGCAACATCGGATAATAACATGATGGATTATAAAAGGGTTGAATTAAAATATAAATTAGAATATAAAATAGTAATATAAGCTGCATAGTTACCAGATAATGCAACAAGATCGTTGGTGTTTAGGCCAAGAGCAGAAAACTTGGAGGTAATGTTGGGTAAGCCTTCAAAAGGAGAGGGAATAGAGGTGTTGGCTCCAGCTTGGTTTGCAGTTAGACTGTCTCTTCTCCCCAGTAATACATTCCATGAAATACTTCCTGACTGCCAATTTAGGTCAATTAAAGTCTATGCCATGAGCCCTTTATAAGATTCCACTATATATCAAATCCGAGCCTTTTTGGATTGGCTCGAAGGGCTTCGGTTGTAAAATCAAAGCCCATTTGGTTTAGACCAATGGGCTTCAGTTTGGACTTCATTCTTTGATTTCATAATCGAAACTCTTTCTAGTTAACTGGACATGCTTAGATTTCACAGCCAAAACCCTTTCAATCTATATTGAAGCGGTTTTAATTCGATTTCCTTGATTTCAAATTCAAAATTGAAACGCCATTTGAGTCAACTGAATGAGCTTTGATTTCACATCCGAAAATTTCAAAATTTTGAAATATTTGTGGACATATGCTTAAGAGTTATACACAACCACATGATTGGTAACTAAAAATTGGATACCATGCCTTGTTGACTCACCAAAGAAACAGAAGCTTCAGCAGCAAGGGCCAGAATGTCAGCACAAGATACTACAGCAGGGCAAGAATTTTCCACAGCAGTCTTGATGTTGTCAACAACATCAAAGCCTCGAATGGAGTTGGTGTTTGGGGCTGCATCTTTCTCACTCAGCTGTATGCTCCCACCCTTGTCTAGCAAGATTGAAGCATCACATCCCTGAAATACCACTAACAAACTTGAGTTCTAGCTACATCAAAAAACTGATAATAATTAAGACAAGTGTGAGAACAAAAAAATAATAATAATAAAGCTAATTGTGTTTACATTGACAAAGCAATCGTGGAAATGAAGACGAATAAGGCTAGCTCCAATCCTCGAGTCAGATTGCAAAGCTTGTTGAACCACGCTGCGGACAATAGTGGTCACATTTGGGCATGTGGAAGAGTAAAATGTAGTGTTCAATTGAGCATTGGATACATATAGCATTAAGAGTACAAATGTGGTTGCCAATGGCAAGGAATAAGTTGTTGAAGAAGAAGAAGACATTGATTTGTATGCTAATCAGTGAAATGAGTTGCAATTAGTTAGGGGCTCATCATGGAACCATTTATAGAAGAATGTCACATCTCATTCAGCTTTAATAATAGACATAAAAGTCAAAAGGTCGGTGATTATTATAAGGCTCAACGTAGCAAGTAAGAAAAGCTACTTTCGCAGTATAAGATTCTTGCAAATTTTTTTTTTTTTGTAGGAGTTAGGCTGTACGAAGTTTCCAACATAAAAAAACTAAAGGTTATTTCCTTTTGCTATATACATTAAAGGGTTATAGAATCATACACTAGGAGCCTAGTATGTATGTTAATAAAATAGTGGTGAGTTTATGCCATATATGTTTTCCTAAGCTTGGGATTCTTTTGTGTTGATATTGGTCCGATATCATAGAAGTATTGTTAACGTGTCGAATCACTTCCAATATAACTAAAACTTACAACCGTTGATAGCGTTGTTAGCTACAATTTTTCTTGTACATGTGAATGACTAAAGACTGTTGAGTAATGTATTTCCGCATTGTAAAACTCAGACGATTGAGAATCGAGAATTTGTATGAGCGATTGTTTTAGCATTTTCCTATCTACTAGCTATTGATTACGATTGACTTGTTTGCCGACACTGATTTGAAACCTACAAAATTTTATGCGTAGTTTGTGAAACACATTTTGATGCGATTTTTGAGAAAGAAAGCTAAACTAATAAAAGACCTTCTCCCCTAGTGTACTGTCGATTGATGTATATGTTTGCCAACTGAGGGTGGAGCCACTTCACTGCCGAATGACCCTAGTAGTTCTGCGCAATTAGAGGAAGGTCTGTCTGGTGAGTTCATTCTTACCAAATTCCCCAGAATTTTGGTACTTTTACTTTTGCACTCAAAGTAATAAATAATCTCAGAATTTGTTTCTGTGAGAAGCAACGCAGGCTAGAGCATTGCCACCATTTTTCTTGTTTCAAAACAAGAAGCAAGAAAGAGGGAAAATAAATTTGATGGGTTTGAATGATTCTTCAGTTCAACCAAGCCCTACTGGTTTCTTTTGGCAGTATGTGTATATACGCGTGGGTTGGTGAGAGTTGTTGGCATTTTACAACCAATAATATATTCGATGAGATTAATTCATCATATAATTTCCCAATCAAAGGATTTTAGTATATATATACATTTGCATGTCAATGTCTACAAAAGAACTTTGAATTTCATGAAATTTCTTCGAAACACAGCTTCAAATTTGAATTTGGTTAACACAAAATTTAACCAAAACAGGTAATATAGTCAATAAATTTGAGCTGATTGCTGGTGTGCTTCTGGCTTATTAGTAGACTTACACCGACATTCCATGACAAAGATGTCCGAATGAACTGTGCGCATTTGATAAAGTTTCCACCCTATTATTAATTCATGTTCATCTTTTATCTTTCCACATCTACAATAAGCTTTGGTCCTGGCCACAGCTTCCCGATGATTGTGACAAATGGGAAAAATAACGGGTGCTGGTATATTTGTTTACAACAACGAATTTATAGTTCAAGTAGTCGAGGAGAGTTAGACTTGGTTGGCCACATATGATTACATTGAACGGAGGAAATATCATATTAGCACAACAAAAATGACCTTGTGGCATTATGCGTTGAAAGTTGTCTAGTCATTTGCCAAGTCCAGCCAAAAACGATTGTTTACAAATTTAACCAATTATTAGCTGAATGGGCGGGACATTGTGTTGGTGCAACCTTGAATCTAACAAGGACGCAGTTTGGGTTTATACCAAAATGAACACCCAATGAACATCAACCACGTGGACTATTCCAGGGCTACGTGTGCCTTCGGCACTCATCTTCGGCACTGTACCTACCGATCACAACATTAGGGCAACCTTGCCCACTCTGGCACGTGGCATCTCCACGATTGACGCCCAGAGTCCCACATCGAAACTCTAAGCAAATTGCATACCTCCCAAGGCCTATAAAAGAGGACACCTATCCCAGCCTGAAGGTAATCAATCAGAACTTACGGCACACTGCCTATTGATCTGCAGTTTAATCTTACTAAATCCGTACTTACTTAAGCATCGGAGAGCCTTCGGCCGGTATCACACCGGTGCCCAAGGATTTACCGTGTGTTTGCTATCTTACATATCGCACACCCTACCGAGGACATCAGATACCGAAGGGACTTAATCACTAAGTTACGCGGGAAAGTGCCGAACCATTTTTCTGCGTCAACAGGTATGTAGGTCTCTTGGCTTGGTGTTCAAGAATTGAATAGGGTTTTAAAAGAAGGCACACGGATAAACCATGAAGACATGAAAAGTTTGACAGCACCACAAAACCACCACTCCCAAAAAAAAAAAAAAAAAAAAAAAAAAAAAAAAAAAAAATCATTTTGGATTTGAAAATTCCACATAGGATCAATAATCCTGTTAAAGAAACCAAAGAATTGCAGTTGCAGTTATGCCTAAAGTGAAAAAGAAAACGCTTATTTGGTATATCTCTCTCACAAATAAATTAATAAAACGTATGCACTGTTTTTGAGAAAGTTTACAAAGAACCATTACAATTACAGAGAAATCTAACATTAAGACAATATGGTACGCCTAATAGCGACTTTGGGATGAGCAAGGGCCAGTGGACCCTTGCATAGGGCCCTGATTTTTTATTTTCTTGTTTCACCATATAAATTATCTTATTATTATGTGCCATATATTTGTTCTAACTTAATAAATGATATATCCACTACTTATTTTAAGATGATCCCACATAGGAGCTCTTGATCAGTACTAAATCCAACGGCCATAGGTTTATTTTATTTTACCTGGTTATTTATGATGAACCATGAGTTTTTGATTTTATGTTCCTTGCTGAATTATTTGTTTGATAATCTTTTATAATATTTAAAAAATAGATATTGATGAGTAATTTTAAATTTACTATCAATATATATGGTCCAATTATATATATATATATATATATATTTGTTCAAGGCTATGTTTTAGGAGACCCTATTACTAATTTTGTGACCCTTAAAATCTCATAGTCGCCCCTGGGTGCGCCTCAACTAATGATCACGTTGGATCGAATAAACTCTCTGACATAGACATCCTAACTAAAATTGCAACATTGGACCAAATAAAATGTATATCATGCAAAGTAGAACTTTTTTCTCCCCCCACCCCCACCCCCCCCATCACCTTCTCTTATGAGCATCATTTGGTGGTTTTCTTGCCGCCCTTTGGGGCGGCTCCTCTACCACCTCTGGTGTGGCTTTTCTTTTTTAATTTTTGTTTGTTTTACTTTGTCCTTTCTCCTTACTTTTCCATATTTTGGCCTATATGTCTTTCCTAATTCCATCTGCATCTCCTCTCCATTTTCACTTCATCCATCACCCCTCTCTCACCTCCTTCTCATCTCCTCCCCTCACCCACACTTTAGTTCCTTCCTCTCCCCCTTCCATCATATCTGAAACCCTTAAATTCTATTCTCTACCTATGATTTTCTTTGTTGTTTACTGGATTATTGCAGCTACTTCTCCCCTACAACCCATCCTCAAAGTTGAGCTTTTGCCATGGAGGTGTGGGCTTTGTAGATAAATGGTCAATTTTGACCCTACTTGGATCGATTGAGTATGACAAATGTTGGTGGCATGCTCCCCCAAATCCATGCTCTACAGATCCCCCTTGTCAGTTCCTCTGGACCTTCTTCTTCTAATGGCGGCGACGACGGATGCGGTGACGGCAGTGGCGACTAGTTGTTTGTAGGGTTTGATTTTAGGGTTTTTGTATTTTTTAGGCTGTTTGTTGGTTTGGGCCTATATTTTGTACATGGAATTGGGCTTTTATTTTCTTTTTTTGTTGAACCCTTGTTTTGCTTCTTGACTTGGGCTTTTTGTAATGTATATTTGGTACTGACATGTTCATTCCTTCTTACAAAAACAAAATAAAAAACAAAAGGTATTGTGGAAAATTGGAGAGCAAATTAATAATCCATCAAAAGAAGAGAAACATGAACCATGATTAATGATTATAGCAGGAACACGAGGAGTATTAAGGAAGATAAACTTCAAATTAATAGAGTAATTAGCATCTATACAATTAAAAAGTAATGATAGAGTAATTAACACCTATATGTATTATTTGAAATTTAAGAAACGTATATAATAATAAAAATTGCTCACAGAAGGGGAAATTTATTTATTTTGTTACAAAGGGAGCCAAAGGCCCAAGCAAAGCGACAAACAGAAAAGACCATCGGCGGCCCATAAGACTCACTGGCCTAGTAGTTCCAACTATATTATTCATCATCAAATACAACATTTCGCAAAATCCCTTGGCAAGAGCATATGTCACTATATTCTTTACACGATAGGTGTGTAAGGGAAACTTTTTGAGACAATGCATTTAATGGTGGATTTGACGCAAATGTTTAATGCAGTGAATCAAGCCTTTCAATGCATTTGTTCTCAATGATTTTTTATTTTTATTTTTAAAAACAAAGCGATAGTCTAAACTACAATGGGGAAGATGATTTCTCAAACGAATACTATCAAGGTACTATGGAGGTTTGAACTTAAAACTAATGATCTACAAATCAAAGTCTTTTTCAACTGAGTTAGACCCATTGTCCAACTACTCTCTTGTTTGATGAGCACTTCAATAAATAATAGATAAAAAAAAGTCATTCCCCAACTTTGTATCCAAAATTTTTCTTCGTAATCAATGTGGCACTATCGTGTTGGGTTCTACAACATGGTTTTTGTTTTCTTTCTTTTGATGCAAAATGTTTAACACCCCAACTTTTTTCTCAACTCTTTTCCTAATCTACATGATATCCACGGTATTTCATTGAATTGAAAAAAAATAACCATATTATAGATCTAATCTGACAGTGCATGCCAAATTGGTTGGGATAAAAAGTTGGGAAGTATAACATTACTTCACACCAACGTTATTTTCAACTCTCTCACATAATGTGGAACTCATAAAATTATGAAACTATGTAGGGCCTATTTGATATCGGAGAACTGAAATAATAGTTGGGCATTACTCATTAACAATATGGGTAGCCCAAAACCCTTTTATTATTTCCTCCTAAATGTGATTAAGGTATGAGGTTGGGGCTCAAATCCCAAGACTGATCGTGGAAGTAGGAGTGGGTTGCTATCCTCCTAGAACAAGTACCAGTGACTACAACCAAGTGTATACCAAAAATATGCAAGTATGTGGCTCAAAAAAGGAGCAAAAGTTTGCATTATAATGAGCAAAAGAGCTTGTGGATCCATTGTTCTTTAGCCTTGGAAAAACACAACACACAAAACGTTTTAAAATTTAGAAAATCACCATCTTCCTCTGGTCTATTGTAACACTCCACTCTCACAAATTGCACCCAATAAGATTGCATAGTTGATAGTGGTGGGGATGGTAAAAAGCAAAAAAAAAAAAAAAAAAAAAAAAAAATTTAAAAAAAAAAAAAAAAAAAAAAAAAAAAACAAAGAAAAAAAAAAGCAACATGGGTCTCAAGGGTGAGTGGGACCCACCATGCGGTCTTAAAAGTATAAACGATAAAACTACCCACTCCCATCATTTTGTATTCTCTTCTTCCCCTTCCACCCTGGCAATTATCGTCCGTACCCTGTCCCCACCCTCCCCTGCTTCTCCGATTCTCTTCCCTTTGCTCCTTTCACCGGCTACCCATCCAGCCGGTTCCCACACCTGTGCCACCACCTCCCATTTGACCGTCCGCACGTGCCACCCCCTATTACACTATTCCCCTTCTCTTCTTTGGTGCAACAAATAAAAGTTTGAGAGAGAAAGAGAGAGAAAATATTAAAGCCAACAACAAATTTTAATTTCTTGGTCTTCTTCTTCTCTCTCTTGGGTTGTAGTTTTTTCTTCATATGGGTTTTGGGTTTGCTTTGCACCCCCCTCTCTCTGTCTCTCCAGCTATGCATATGTGTTTGTTTTTGTGTGATTAAAATCGTCAAAATCTGACCTGAAACTGAGAGATCATCCACTTCTTGGGTCTCTCAGTGTGTGAGAGAGATTGGATTGGTCTATTCTTTTCTTTTCTCTTGCTTTGTTTGTTTGAGGAACCCAAATAATATCTTATCTTAAAACCGATGAGGATCCGGAAAAGACAGGTGCCCTTCCCTCTCTCATCTCTCTCTCCGGTGCCTTTATCAGATCCCCTCCTCCACAACCTCAACTACTCACCACCACCACCACCACCCATGGTGCAACTTCACACCCACCATGATCCTGCCCCCACCCAACCAAAACTCTCCAACCCAGTTGAGAAAACTGCCCGGGTGGGCCATCCCCATCCTCAGCCGTCTGATCATCATCTCAATCAAGGTCTCTTGCCGATCGGGCGGGCAGGGAAAGGCTGGGGGTTTTCTGATGCTGCTGGTGGGGATAAACACAAGGAGCACAACAAGCAAGATTGTGGTTTGGTTAGTTGAATTTAATGCTCACATCACAACCCTTTTTCTTTTTTTGTCATTTTTAGTTTTGTTTTTGGGTGCACCTTTGTTCAATGTAACCCAAAGAGGAAGTGTGTGTGTGTGTTGTTTAATTTTCATTTGGTTCTTGCTTCTTCTTCATTTGCACCCATCATGGGGGTCTCAACACAAGGCCAGGCATAGCATGTGAGGGTGGATCATGTATATATTTGGTGTCTGATTTTTGCAGGAGCTCTTGATATTGAAAGGGGAAGAAGAAGAAGATGAGAGAGAATCAAGAGATGGAGAGAATAATGATATCAGGTAAGAGAGAGAGAGATGGAGAAAAATAAAAAGAAATAAATAATAAATAAAAAGTTAATTCACTTCATGTTCTCTCTTCTCATCTTTCATGAAATCTCTTGTAGTAAAAAGGGTCAAAAGAGAAGGGAGACCCCTCCCTACCTTGAGTTATTTACTTTCCCAGCTCACCAAAAAGAAAAATACAAAGAAAGAAAAATAATATATATATATATATTTATATACTGTAAGTGGAAATACTGTTTTTATGTGTTTTTATATCAGCTTTGGCTAGCCACCATACCTTATTACCTTCCCATCTAATCTAAACCTCCAGCCGCTCCTTTTTCTTTTCTTTTCTTTTCTTTTTTTCTTCTCTCCATATTGGGTAACAAATGTACCCATGCGGTGCACGTTAGCATGGGATAATCTGGTCCCCATTGTACTTATAAATTTAATTGTTGCACTTTATTTTCTGGGTTACTTTTATTTCATCCGGGCTGTAAATTCTGAGGTGCATGTGTATGTGGTTGTCGATCGATGGGTGTGGTATGGTTGGTTTTTTAGGAAGGAAAGCATATTGGGTGCAGAAACGTTGATGGGTTTTGCTTCAGGATCATCAAGTTTTTCTCACCGAGGTGATTATTAATACAATTATTCATGAAATATAATCTCTACCATTTCTGGCTTGCATTGAATTATTGGTTTTCATGTTGCGGCTGTTGTTGGGTTGCATTTCAAACAGCCGTTGGGAGATGGTGTGAAGGAGAGAAAGCGTTCCCGTTGAAGAAGCGAAGAGGGAGCTTCGGAAGAGGAGCGAATATGGAGGAGAAGGACAGGAAATCAATGAAGACCAAGATGAACAAAAAATGTGCAACTCAACAGCAAAACGATGATGATCAGAAGCAAGAGGATGAAGAGGCCAAAGAAGGCCTTGATCATGCCAATATTATTGTTCGTAGTAATTCGAGTGCAACAAAGAAGAGGGCAAGAGGCAGCGGTGCACTCATGGAGGGGTCGCGGTGCAGTCGAGTTAATGGAAGAGGATGGAGGTGTTGCCAGCAAACTCTTGTTGGCTACTCTCTTTGCGAGCATCACTTGGGCAAGGGAAGGTTGAGGAGCATGACCAGCGTCAGAAGCCGGTCTATGGCAACGACAACTACAAGTACTGCGTCCATTGAGAAGGAGCTCAAGCGGTTATCAGCATCTAGATCTTCTGAGGAGTCGCCATGGAAAGAAGACACCAAAGCTGCTGTGCTTCTAGATGAACATGATGTTGATGAAGCTAAATGTGATCGTGATGAAAATGGAGGTGAAGAGGAAGGGAAGCCATTGATGGTTAAAAGGAAGAGGATGAAGCTTGGGATTGTTAAAGCGCGATCCATGAGCAGCTTGCTTGGCCAAACCAACAGTGCAATTGCAGCTGTGGCTGATGAGGATGAAGATAATAATAACAAGTAAGTAGGTCGAAGTATGTGAGAAAATGGGGGATTATTCCGTGTAGTTGGGACTTCAGAGAGAGAGAGAGAGAGAGAGGAAAATGTCTTGAAGGTGTGAACTTGGTGCAACTTTGCTTCAACTTGCAATATGTGTGGGATTATTCTTATATATATTATGGTATATGAGATATGATGATATAAATAGATGCTTGATAAAGTGTTGAATTTATCATTGTCTTGCTCATCTTTTTTAATCTTTTTGTTTAGTGCTTTCGTTTCGTGAGTGATGGGTTATTTATTTATTTATAATAATAATTATATTAAACAAATAGATGAGATCGGGTCTATTTATTTACTGTTTAATATTGGCGAAATTTTTACTTTAATTACTAATTTATATATATTGAATGCGGGGGGAACTTCCCCAGGAGACCCTAGTTCAGTTGTTACTGTATATCTTTTGACCACAAGCTTAACTATTTGTTTTATACCATGTCTCTATCTCAATTGAAAAATATGGTTTTATCAGTTGTGGTGATGGGATATAATTCGGTTGGTGTTTAATACATCAAATTTTAAAAGGAGGTATTGAAAACAAATAACTAATTCTAAAAATTATGCACAAATGTAGTTATTATGAAAGGAAAATTGTGCACACGAAAGTCGGACTATAAGTATAGTTATTATGAGAGGAATATTGTACACACTCGTTTCATATCCATTACATGCAAATTCATATTCAAGAGTAAGTACTCCTCATTCTACGAAGTTATGCAATTTAGTTTAGTTTCGGAAGGGATTTGTTTAATAATGGAGCTAGCTGCACATCTCGGTATGTCATTTGCTTGAGGGAGAACAAAGCACAAGTAAGAAGGCAAATTTTACGAAGTTATGCAATTTAGTTTAGTTTCAGAAGGGATTTGTTTAATAATGGAGCTAGCTGCACATCTCTGTATGTCATTTGCTTGAGGGAGAACAAAGCACAAGTAAGAAGGCAAATTTCGAGACCGTAATGTTTAAGCACGTTTTAAAATTGGTTTTTTGATTGCCAACTTGTTGTTTAAAGTAGTCTTCCAGTTGTTTCCTAGCTAGACGCAAATGTTGAAGAGGTTGCTTCTGACATTAATCATCCTTAAGATTCATGTTGACTAATATAATCATAATTTAGTCTTATAAACTTAAGTTAACATTAACACAAAGATTTCGTCCTACGGCATTCATCCTACGTACAAGTTGTGTGAAATTATGAAATAATGCATATTTATCAGTTTCAACCACAATATTGTTTGAACTTACTTATAGATGTCGGCTGATGCTTTGATGGTTACATATATCTTATATGTGGGTTGAAGACAGTTGAATTCTTTTTCGGATAACGAGTAAAGTTATCTGGCCTACTTAAGATACTTGTAATCACTTGCAAATCATATGTATCAGATAAATTTCGATATATTCACAACTATTGTAGATATTCAAAGCTATAACTGTTGAGTATACAGCTTACCACTTGGGGTTTGAGACGGTGTTTAAATTCGTCGCTTAAGTCTTGCCATTGTTAAATTGAATTAGAAAAATCAAAACGAATTTATCACCAATATTGGAAAGAGCTAGGTAACATCACAATATAATAAGTCAACATCAACAGCGCAAGAGGTCCCAGTGTTGCACAAAAGTTTTGTAGCACAAATGTGTAAGATTGAAATGAAAGGCCTTGCTGGCTTCAAACTAATTTTATTATAGGACATGTATGAAGACAATGGGAGGTACAAGTTATCCCACTTTTTGTCCAAAGAAGGACTATGTGACTTTGAGTACGTACTTAATATTCGAAAAGGAAAAAAAAAGAAGTGAAAAGAATGACAAGTACTAGACAGAATTCTATGTGCTTTTTTTGGAAGTGGAAATTATAGTGCATAAAATAATGTTCTTGTTAATATAAAAATATACTCGTAAAAATTATATACAAACAATGCTTTGTTCTTTTAATTTTCTCGCACTCTCCCAGTCTTCTTATACTAATTTTGATTTTTTCTTGTATTTGGGTGGACCGTGGACTAGGCCCAACCTGCTTATACTATTTTAATTGAAAAAAACACACAAATTCAATATGTAATATAATGCTAAATTGTCTCATAACAATCTCTCTTTCATGTGAATATAATCCTAATTTTCTAATCCAACATTTGTTTAAGAACGTGACATGCATGCCAACGAGGTCTATAGCCCAATGAATGGTCTTAAGTTCAAACATCTATCTCTATGACACCTCGATAATATGTGCTTGTATTAAAAAAAATAGAATGCGACATGCAGGAGTCCAATAATGGAGGAGCAAAAATATTCCCCACCAATTAGAGGATGCCCCGTCATTAGGTAAGTTTTTTTTTCCTCTGTGAAATTGAAAAGTCTCATGGTCTTCCATTATTGGTCCATGGTATGGTAAATGAGTACCTCATGCCCCCATTCAAAAGTTCAAATGTAGTACGGACCACGGGTTGGGTGTGCTCCAGCCCACCCGAGAAGAGAAGTGTTTGTTTTTACCAAGTATAAGTTCATGTTCATCCTGGTTCTTATCCCCTTCGTATATTTTCCAACCTTGTGGATTAATTATGAGGTATTATATATGAAGTTTTAAAAGGAAGTTCTTATTGGAACAATGGTTATGTTTGACTAGACTAAACAGATTTCTTTCCCAACTCTTATTCAATACAATGGACCCTGCACGCATCCTATATGATTCCATATACTTTCATTTCATATATTGTAAATGATGTGAGAGAGTAGAAAATAGTTGGGGTTTCCAGTGCTACTAATTTGACTAGAACATAATATAACCCAATAACAATGCTCAATTATAGTAATCCTTATAATATGACCCAATAACATTATAATACGCAGATGTGGATTAGATCAGTTGGCCAAGATAGTGTGCTCGTCTATTCACCAGAATTCAATCTCTCTCCCCACACATTAGAATAGTTTAGCATATTGCATAAAAAAAAAAAAAAAAAAAAAAAAAAAAAAAAAAAAACACAGGTGCAAAAATTTATTTGTGACCACATTTATTCACTTTAGTGATTAGTCTTCCAAAATTGGACGATAAACCAAACATTATTCAGGTGTAGTTATTATTTTGGTTTAGAGGCTTTCTTAGGGTTCTGAAATTGCAACCAATTTGCGTCTGGACCATTAGAGATGTGTGGCAAAAGAGATTCTTGGGCCAACGATGGAGACCCCTATAGCCAAATCCTTTTCAACTGAGCCGAAGAAGACTCAATTATCTCCGTAACCTGGTTTTGACATCTGAGTCAAGCAATTTAACCTAAAAGTTACGAACAAGAAAACAAGATAAAATACCAAAATTTCAAATTAGTGAGTTCCGGTTTACAACATTTAGCTCAGCAGAAATTTTCTTCACAGCCCGAGTCACCAACACGCTGTGCCGTGCTAGAATAAGAAATAAGTGGTCCTATATTATATTTTTATGGTAGGCCTAACGTATTAGCTAGTTATTAAAAGAATGTTCACATAATGATGTGACAATATTTATTTACTCAATTTTTTGGAGACAAAATTGGATTTCATTAGATAATCATAGTATTACATGGAGAAGAGCATGTAAGGAGTGACTTCATTAAAACCTCTATGAGGAAAACCCAATGGGGAAAAACTCCAGAGGAGGAAAGAGTACTACACATGCCTAGACTACAAGAGAGTCAAACATCATAGCAAACAGGGGAGTCCGCAAGTAGACAATCCTATAACCAAGGAGGGGGATCAGAGAGCCAAAATGCTAAATCCTCCTGACCAAGATTGAACCGAGCAAGGCGATCCACAACCCCATTAGTCGGACGAGGAACAAGGTGGGCCGAGTAGGAGGGAAATGAGGCTAGGAGTAGTCTAATGTCGTCAACGAAAGGCCCTTCTGTAGCATAACAAGGGTCATCCTGGAGGAGCAGTTGGATGACAATCAATGAATCAGACTCAATAATGATAGGCGTAAAGGATGCATCCACCGCAAAAGAAATGCAAATCTTAAGAGCATACAACTTAGTAGCCAGGACTAAAAATAAACTAGAAGAGCGCATCGCTATCGCCCCACAAAGACTGCCATAGGAGTCTCTGACTACTACACCAACTCTACACAAGCCAGAGTTCGAACTAAGAGCACCATCAACATTAAGCTTAAAGTGACCAGGAGGAGGAGGTTGCCATCATTTATCAGAAAAGGGCAAAGAAGACTGCTTATGATGGATTAATAAAATCTTCTGATACTCAACATCATAGTTTTTTGCACTAAAGACTATTTGTTTAGGGGGCAAAATAGGAGAATCAAACAGTTCCGCATTACGAGCATTCCATAAGGACCAGAGAATAATAGTAAACAAAGAATGCTGGAAGCTAGGAAGGATGTCCCATACTGCCAACATCCAATTAGCGGAATCATAGCTAGGTAGAGCAACGAAGTGGAGTCCAACCCAATATGCTCAAAACTACGGAGCTTACCGTACAATCGTGAAGGGCATGCTAAGCAGTTTCAACTTAGCAAATGCAATGAAAACAAAGGTTGTCTTGGGAAATTTTCCGCCTATAGAGCACTTCACGGGTAGGACTAGCATTGTGGGCCAGACGCCATAAAAAGTGTTGCATTTTGGGTGAAAGTTTAAGCTTCCACAAATGTTTCCATAGCTTTTGAGATGAAGAAGAGGAAGACCCAGAGGTAGACAAAGAGGCTGTCTGAGATTGAAGTTCTAAGCTGCCCAATATCCACTATTAACCATATACTCACCATTACGAGTAAAGTACCAAATACGACGGTCCCCAGTATCACAACTCATAGGAATATGCATAATAAGCTCAGCTTCAGGGAATGTAAAACTTCAAAAACATTCAAATGACCTGTAGCAGTAATAAGGGCACTAATTTTGGAGTACATAGGGAGACAGGTAAGGGACTGAACAATAAAAGTGAGGTAATGAGGGACCCACGAGTCGCCGAAGATTTTGACTAGCTGACCGTCTTCGATTAGCCACCGAAGGTTGCTGCATAGACGCTGAGCATAGAGAGCAAGATTAGCCATAAGAGATTCCTTACATTGCCACCCCTCTTGAATTATTTTTTCATAATCTTCATTAGATGTGCATTGTTCCTCGAACTAAAAACAACGTGGACTTCGATGATGCCAAACGTCATCTCCAGGCCGTGCATTAGGAATGATGAAGATTGGTTGATGATCAAAAGAGTAGGCCGAGGGATGATATATGGTATAATTACCCCACTGTTGAAGCAAGGCTATATTACAGAAACCCCTGTCTAAGCGCACTTAAACATTTGCGTCATCTCTATGATTATTCGTCCAGGTATAGGGGAGACCGATAAAATCAAATGGTAACAGATTACAGTTATCAACCACCTATTGAAATTGTTCAAGTTGATCGACTGATCGAATGTGATGACCCATTTTTTCATCCATAACTAGAATCTCATTGAAGTCGCCACAACACAACCATGGACCAAAACCTACCTGACTAAATCGGCGGAGAAGCTCCTAAGAATGAATCCGCTGGCTGGGGTTGAGATGACCATAGAATCCAGTTATCCACGTAACAAAGGAATTGGGGAAAGTAACACTAACGTCAATATGTCCCGAAGAGGAAGAGAGCAACACAACCTGCAAACCAACCTTCCAAAGAATACAAAGACCCCTAGATAGCCCTTCATGGGGAACACATAGGACGCCTCCCACACCAAGCCTTCAGAGTAAGCCACCAATTTGGATAGCAGTCATAAGAGTCTCAGAAAGGCAAACAATGTCTGGTTTCTTGTCCTGAAGAAGGTTTTTGAGGTCACAGAACGTACGACTGTTGCCAAGCCCCTGCACGTTCCAGCTTAACATAGACATAGAAAGAACTAAAAGATGGATCCATTATAACCACCAATCTAAGCAGGAGAGAGTATGCCGCACCACTCGAGCAAGAAAACCATAACAACAGAACAAATCAATCATAGAAACATTACGGCACTGAGTCGCCTAGGAGATTACCAACAGAAATCTAGAATCGAAACAAATGGCAACAAAGTAGGCGATGCTAGGAGGGCACGAGGGCAAAGAGCCCTAAACATAGCCTTGTGAGTGAGCAGGAATAGACCAAACTCGAGTCGAGACCTAATTGACCAAGACGATGGCTTTAGGCGACTAATCCGTAGGGAAAAAAAGGGGTGAGCAGCGGGGACAAAGCCAAGATATCGGGGTTAGTAGCTGGATGACAAGAGAAGATGATGACGAAGACAACCTAGGCGGAGAGAGAATGACGGCAATGGAGCATGAGATGATGGCGGCGAAACACAAGAGGAAGCCTTAGATATGACGCAAGGCTCTCCTCGCGCAGCGAGAGAGCAACCCAACATTTATTTACTCAATTATGAACTCATTCTTCAAGCATGAGTTATGTGAGTTGGTTAGTGCCATATGTCCAACTGTTTCACTTGAATTCGATTTCCCTATCCTGTAGATTAGAGTACGCTAGATTGTTACTTATGCGTGTTACTAACATAAATTATGAACTTGAACTTTTATTATTCCTAAGAAGTAAAACACTCGAACATTGTTTGAGGAATAAATATATTTTGAATGACTTATATCTAAATAACAAACTCTTTTTTATTTTATTTTGTTTTATTCTGGCCTCAACGGTTTCATTAGATATTTTACTACTAGAAGCCCTCTTTTTTTTCGATTCCAATTCTTTCACCACCGCGAACCCCAGTTACATTAAACATGATACACTTTTTAGTTATTGGAAGAACCCAAGTACTCTATTTCGGATCCAAAAAACAGCTCTTAGAGATCTTTTCTTCCTTTTGGAAGACCAGCCACAAAGGATATCTTACTTCCTTACTTCTTTTGGTTTGTTAAGGTTCTGATCCTTCTAGATCAGTTGGTACCATGCACACAAATCCATACTGTTAGTTTCTTTCTTCTGGTATATACTAGAATTATTAATCATAAAATAGAAAAAATGTGAGACATATTTTTAAAAGCTCTATGGGTTGCATTTCTTGAGCACATGTATAACCTTGGCTCTTCAATTGATTCGCAAGAGAAAGGTTTGCTCTGGCTGGCCAGGGCAGAGCACGAGGTCAGTGTATCATTGTCAAAATACATATATACACATGTAGGACACACTGGAAGGCCCCAACACTTAGCCATTTGGTGGGCTGTTTACGCACTGAGATGATAAAATTCAATTCAATATATCATGGAGGGGCATTGAGGGCCTGCCAATCAGCTCTCAAACTCGTGTAAAATCATATATTAAAAGCCTGAGGCCAATAATATTATTGGGTTTCTTTTTTCTTTCTGGCTAACATTTATATATGCAACCTTCTCCTTAGCTAGAGTAGTATATAATCCAAGTATTTAATATTTCACATGAAGCTAAAGCTACCATCCGGCAGAAGGTACAAATATTATTAATTACAAATTGGGAGCTTCCGAAAGGTTGGCTTACAGCCAGGCTGTGGTGCACATCACAAACAGTGGCTGAGAGATTGAAACCAAAACCTGTCAATGGTGAAAACCACAATGATTCGAGACAAATTTCAGCTTTGGCTATAGATTATGGAGCCTATAAAAAAAATAAAAAATAATAATACAAGCGGTATTGGGAGAGAAGAAAGGGGAATTGAATATAGGACCTTGAATGTAGGGATAAATACTCTTAATCACTTGAGCCTTTAAACTAAGAATAGATTGCGGCGTTGAAAGTGTTTGATTTGATTTTAGATTTCTGAGAAGCAAATATTGAATAATTTTTTGGAACAAGATGATGATGAGCATGATGAAGCCATTTGATGAACAAACAAGATGACATTGACGTGTACAATTTTTATGCATCTGATTGGAGATTGCGGCTTACAGTCTGACTTTCATGCTCATGCAAAGCAAGAAAAAAGAATGAGGCAAAATGGGAATAAAGATAAAGTAGGTGGTGTGTTAAATGCTTTAAATTAGTTGAGAGAGAGAGAGAGAGAGAGAGAGAGAGAGAGAGAGAGAGAGAGCTTCTATCTTCACTGGTTGAGTCATGAACCACAAAAGAAAAGTTAGAGCAGTGCCTGTCCAACAAATTTCTTAGTTTTTCTTTTTAAGGCCAGCTGGTTTAGTTAATGGTAGGATATAAAAACTGCTATATCAGCAAGAAAATGAAATCTGAACAAACTTTCTGTAGGACTAAACTTTCATAGGGCAAAACTATATGTAGCTATCTACTGCTTTCAAGAAAATTGGGCCATTTCTACCATCCAATAAAATATTGTCAACTGTTCGGATTTCTTGCATCTTTAATCCAATTGCAAAATTATCAAAACCCAATCCAAGAAGTATATGCAATGCAAGTCCCATGTACTTTCTGCTAACCTGCATAAACCAGACGATGCAAAAGTCAAATGGTAATGCTAGTGCAGTATCATTATTTATTTATAATAGCTTTTGTTTGCAATGTTAACTTGGAATTTGTTTCATCCTAACAATATGAACATCCAAGATCCAACTAAGAGAAAATTTTAGATAATATTATTCCCTGCCGTCCTCTTTTGCCTTTGATTTAATTATGTGTTATCTTCTCATCCACATCAGCAGAAAGATATGGAATTGAACACATTGGATGGCAAAAAGTTCTTGTATAATTTCTTGACTTTCACCGTTGAGTGGTCCTGAGTCTATACATAAGTTCTAAAATATAGTTTTTATTGAGGGATATTTCAAATAAGCTTATTTGAGGGAACACCCTTATAGAGTCCACTACACATTGTATTTCACTAATCCAAACCGTCTATTTTGTAGATATTCATTCAAAAGTGATCTCTATAAAAAATTACTTGAATCTGATATCATTTGACCATTCAATTGAATGATTGAAATTTTAGTATTTTCTTGAAGCATGTACATTGATTTTGTAGGACACAATTGGATGTCGAAACGGTTTTCGATTTGTCTGATTTTTTGCAAGGATTATCTATGAATGTAGACTTAAAAATAAGGTTATATAGTTATTCTCTCATTCGGATGTCCGTATGTTATTATCGTGTATGAATTGTAAACAAAGAGAAAAGCAGGATGGGAAGTAGAAAGTACATGGCATCCGCGCACGATAATTTCAAAATGAAAGCTGGGAGGAGGAGTATAATGGAGAAGAAGACATTAAGCATAATTAACTATTGTGAGGCTCAGCACTGTGGAAAGACAAGTTTGATGAAATTGTTTACAATGTTTGGGAAATAAAGTAGGACAGAATTTGCTCCGAGTGGTAACTTATGATGTAAATAACAATATTTTTATGTGACAGCTACAATCATTGTGTCCACATTTCCCTTTTTCTACTGGTTATTGGTGTCTGCATCATGAGTGCCATAAATATATATATATATATATATATATATATATGCAACTGTAACCTTCAGGCCTCGTTATCGGACCAAAAATCATTTCTGTTACTCTTGTGAAATCTTGGCATAAAAATAAATTACAAGAAGAAAAGACTTTTCAGGATCTGAAGTTTTCTTATGCTTCTGGCTTTCTAAAAACTTAAGTTGGTGCTTCTTTCATACCCTGGATTGCAGCAACCAAAGAGACTCTGCCAACATGAAGGGCTGGAAATTTCCTGCAAATGGTGAACACAATATTAATGGTGGACGCTCTGTTACATGCTTACAGCAAAATAATAACACAACTCTCTTCAAAAGACCTTATAGAATGAACTTGCTTGGTGTCACAAAATTGTGCACTCCATTGATGAATATCCCAAACTGGTTTAGAACAAGGCGACACGTTCCTATAACTAATCACAATTTAGAACTCTCTAAACCAAATTTCTTGATGGACAAGGAATAACCAAATTAGTATTTTCCTGTTATTATCTGAAATGATCAAGAAATTAAATCATACTAAGAAGTTGAGACATTCTTAACCAGTAGTTAATCAAGTTATAAACTCAAAAGTTTTTGAGTTCCTAAAGAGGACACTAAATTTGGAGATTCGTACACTATCTACAGCTGAAAAGTATGGCAGAGTGATAAACATATGATGAAAAATGAAAACATGAATATATACAGAGCTTGAAACACCAAAATAAACAAGGAGCAATTGATAGCATCAAATTTGGTATCAACTTACTGTCTCTGATTTAGTACTCTGATTTCCGACCGTCGATCTCACCATTGTTTCACCAGCTTTTCTCTTCTCCTTTGGGCCAAATTCCTTTCTTTTAAGAGTGTCACCTTCAATCAAGAATGCTTCATTCAGCCTACTTTCTGGTCCAATTTTATTGGAATAATTAGTACCAGGTTCACTAACAAAACTGGGTTGTTTTGCTGGTTTCGAATTGCTCGAAATCTTGTTGGGGACAGTAGGACTATAGCTGTAGCTAAATGTTCCTCGAACATCAGAAGTACCCTTTGAACCTTGTTGATCACTTTGCTTCTTTGCTTGAATATTCTGCCCATAAGATGAATAAGACTTTGCCAAATCTATTGAAAAACACGCATCGCTGAATTGATAACTTGGAGTCAAAGTCATGTCTACAGAAATAGGAGTTGCTGGATCTTTTGGATTCGGAGAAGTGATGGCCATGCCTGCATCTGTTTGATCTGGTCCACCATGTCCAAGTTTGCTGACTCTAACATTGAAGTTTTGTTTAGGAGAATATAATCTCTCATCCCAGCCAATACTTCTAAAGTTGCCCCTAGAAACTTTCTGCCTTACCAACTGCAACAGTTCATTGCCTTCAATATTGTAATTTTCTGCTACACTGATCCCAAAAGAAGATGCTGAAGAATGCTTAGTCTGCCTCGAAAACGTGCTGGTGGACAGCAGTGGAGTTCCATTTTGGGGAGGTTGAAGACCTGTCTGGTTAGAAATGGCACAAGAAATATGAGTATCGAACTCACAAATGAGACATCTATACAGCCACCCATCATAACCTGGCTCATTGCAGAGATCACAACATAAATCGAATGGGGGTGAAAATGACAATGTCAATGCATGAGGGTGGGATGGAATAGCAATGCAAATGGGCAGGCCTGAGCACAAGCCATGGAAGTAAAGGCCGCAATCGGAGCAATCATAGTAAAATCCGGTGACATGATTTCCGCAAGCCTGACAATTCAGGGGCCCTTTGGTGCTTGAAGGTGGAGAAGGATGGAGGTTCAGGTAGTGGCTTGGATGAGCCGGGTGACGCGTTTTTGGGGGCATGTTGTAGCACACTTGGTGCAGGAAAAATGAGCATGTTGGGCAGCTGTAGTAGTCCTTACCAGGCAGTATCATGAGATTGCAACCTGCACAAGTCTTGTTCTGTTTGGGAGGTGAATTGGTATGCTCCAACGGATGTTCATGGCTAAAGTGGTGAAACTTTAGCCCCTGGTTTTCCATTCTTTCCGTTGTTAGTTTTGCTCCTTGAAGCTTGAAATTGAAATGTCCCTTTCTGTTTCTGGTATGAATTTAAGTTTTTGAGGCCTCAACAATTTCTTGAAATATCCGCAATTGGACCTCCTGATCTTGAAGAACATTGGCATATTACATTTGCACAAGTGCCAAGGCTAAAGTTTAATATAGGAGCAGGATTCTTCTTCACCGATTGGACTGTTTAAGCAGTATTTGGCCGGCACATACAGTCCAATGCTTGTTTGCATAGGCAGTAATTTGCTTCACTTTAATTCTAATTGGAGCACTTTATTTATTTATTTGTACGCTTCTGCATATTTGGTTCATCTACACCAAGGATCCATCCACATTGATAAAAACTATTTAATATAAAAAATTAAAATCCTTCTTCAGAAATTATTCATGTTCACTCACCCGTAAGAATTTTTTTCTCTAACTATTATTCAATTTATGGCATGATTTACCCTTTAATATTTGTAAGCTAATCTAGAACATTTGCTTAATTGCTTAAGAAAGGAAATTGATGAACTAAATGATCAGGTCAGAAAATTGACCATAAACCTTAAAATTCACATATATTTTGGAACTCTGAAGTTTTGGAATCTTGAGATACATTCTAATTCCAATATAATTTTATTTGAAATTTTCATATTTCAGAACTTTCGGATATCAGAATTGATTTAGACTTTCAAAATTGGAAATTTTCGAATTGGAATCCGCCGGAATCTTAGAAAGATTGGGAGGATTCATTTATGAAATTTCCAATCCAACTTGCAACCCTACGCTCAGCCTAATGGAAGATGGACTAAATGATCAGGTCAGAAAATTGACCATAAACCTTAAAATTCACATATATTTTGGAACTCTGAAGTTTTGGAATCTTGAGATACATTCTAATTCCAATATAATTTTATTTGAAATTTTCATATTTCAGAACTTTCGGATATCAGAATTGATTTAGACTTTTCAAAATTGGAAATTTTCGAATTGGAATCTGCCGGAATCTTAGAAAGATTGGGAGGATTCATTTATGAAATTTCCAATCCAACTTGCAACCCTACGCTCAGCCTAATGGAAGATGGAAGGTTTCTTTACAGAATTCGTCGTATGAAATAAAAATAATTGTGTAATTACCAAGTTGAATACGTACTCTGGGCTTTATTAAAAAGATCCTATTGGTGCACCCTATTATTGGGCTTGAACGAAGTTAATAATCCTATTCCCAGACTTTTTCAATGGGGGCACATTGCGGGCTTCTCTCATATTTGGGCCAATGTTACTGTGTTTTCATCTTGGGTCATTTAAGCTATCTCAATGCCTTGCATATCGCCTCGTCCCAAGGGCAATATAAAACAAAACAAATTACATAATCTCACTTGACCCGGTGCGATTGGTTCATGGGGTTGAATGGACGATATTGCCCCTGATTATGTGCAATACATTTGACGACTAGTTGTTAAGTATTGTAGCAGAAGTTATAATTTGTGCTTATAGGCAACTAATATCCCAAAGCTAAGAATCCAAAGAATGCCAATTTCTACTGAAAATAAATGAATATTCTTTTCTTGGCTCTCACTTAGACTGTATCTGTTTGCATGCTTGTGACTCTCCATTTCTATGATTTCTTGTACGTAGATATATATATATATATATCTGTTTTGTATCTGTAACTTTCCAACAGTTGATCCAAATTTTATGTTCTTTATATGGCTGGATTCAGCATGAAAAACTAAAGAATCCAACGCGAAACAAATATCAAAATCATTTACATAAATGTAGAGAATTCAGTAAAAATAACACTCAAATGTTCAAACAACAAACAAAAGTGGCTCCTAGTACATCTTGAGTATATATTGAATGATATAGTGACTAAGTTATTTGATTTCATACTTGGATGAATTAGACTATTGGATATTTATATTTAGTTATCAACATCCCTTAACTCTGACCAGCGGTCATCATCATGAGGTAATTCAATACGACTGTGATGATAATAGATCAATTACTTGGGTACAATTATTGGAAAAACCAATTTTTGATTTCTTTATTTGACCTTTGAATCTTTACTTCCCTCATAAACAAAGAATCCAAAGAAGCTTGTGTATAAGGTACTGAAAAGAAATGGATCTTTTCCTTTCTTCGTTCACTAGACTACATATATCTGTTAGCTAAAGATACAACAAATTCTATCTGTTTATATATGTGTGTATGTGTGTATCTCTATCTTTATCTTTTAGTATTACATTTCCATATTGTCAAAAATTTATATTGATATTTCTCAGAGAGAGAGAGAGAAGAAATGGAAATTACACATATTCACGACCATCCATTGATGTTCAAGGAAGAAGCGGAGAAAAACATTTATGGTGCAAGTCTTTTTTGCAATGTATGCGACGAGGCAGTCGTCGGCCGTTACTACTCTTGCAACCAATGTCCCCGCAGCAGCAGCTTCATTATTCATAAATCATGCACCGAGCTACCCGTTCAGATGCATCATCAACCCTTGCATTATGCAGAGCATCCACTCACTCTCATCAGATGCCCGAAATTATACTTGTAATGTATGCAGGGAAACGTTTTACGGCCCCACCTTGGCTCCCTTCGCTTACCGTTGTTCCAAATCTGGATGTGACTTCATCCTCGACCTCAAGTGCACCTCCACATGGCGCAACATCACTGAAAATCATTTCGGTGATCATCCCCACCAATTCAGCCTCTATAAGAAACCAAAACTGAAATTCGAGTGTGGGGCATGTGGCGTGGAGGGACGTTACTCCGTCTATATTTGTCACATCTGTAAGCTCTGGGTCCATAAGAACTGCACTTCATTACCAGGCCACCTCAAAACAAGAGCGCACCCACACCTTCTCATGCTTAGATGGTCCCTTGAAGGCATTATTAAAATCAGCCAGGAGGTTTGTAAACTATGCTATGAGAACATGCATGGAAGCGGCTGTTTCTATTATTGTGAGCCTTGCCATTACATTGCCCACAATAGATGCGCAGTTATGGTGGACATTGAAGACCTTGATGATGACGACATGATTGAGGCGGCCTCGAATGCTGATCATCCCATTAATCCTGATGTGCAGGCACAACAGATCACCAATGAAGATCTACATGAACAGATAAAGCACTTTAGTCATCAACATTTGTTAACCCTCATCATCAGCGGCCATCATGAGGTAATTAAATATGACGGTGATGATAATAGTACACTTAATTGTGACGGTTGCATCAGACCCATTTCCCCCACGGATGCCTTTTATAGCTGCATGCAAAAACAAGAAGAAGAACAACGGAACTGTCATTTCTTTCTTCATACAAACTGTGCTCGATTACCCACAAAGATGCGTCATCGATTTCACCCAGAACACCCAGTCACACTTCTCTCAAAAGCGCCTTCTATTGATGGTGTGTTTAAGTGTGACATATGCAACACTTTTAGCCAAGGTTTCGTCTACAATTGTAAACAATGTTCTTTCAACCTTGACCTTCAATGCAATTTTCTTCCAGACTCGCTTAAACATGAGGCCCACGACCATTGCCTCATCCTAAACAGAGGATCGATGCATTGTGTTGGTTGTGGTTGTCGACCAGATTTCCGCTTCAGTTGCATGTATCTAGGATCATGTGTGTTCTCTATTTATTGAATTAAATGTGTCAAACTGCCTCTTATCGCTAGGCATAAATGATAAATGTGACAACCATCCTCTCAAGCTTACAGATGCTAGTGTTATAGACGAAGACGATGATGAATATTATTGTGAAATTTGCGGAGGAGAACGAGATTCAGAATATTGGTTCTACCGCTGTGAAGACCGCGACTTCGATTTCCATCCTGACTGTGTTCTGGGGAGGTATCCTCAAATCAAGTTAGGAAGCACTTACAAGCATGATGCTCACCCACACCCTGTCACCCTTATTGATAAGATAAAGAGTGTCATTCCTAATGACAAGCGATACAAGGATATTAGTCCTTGCGAGGTGTGTCATGAACCTTGCGAAGGATTGGTGTATGAATGTTCAGAATGTAATATAAATATCCACCGAAACGGATGTTGCAACTAGCAAGAACAAGATTAGCGATGGACGGCGGCCGGCCAACAAGACTTTAGATTTGTGCGAAAATAAAAAGTGGGTCTTTGTAACCATCTGTGTCTCAAATATATATAAATATATGTGATTAAAAAAATGTTATTTATACTTGTATATACTTCATTATATCATATAACTTCCTGAACTTTCGAAGTAGTTTCAAATTAGTATTTGAAAACTCATGATTTTTAAAAGAATCATAGTTTTTTAGTTCACTTTTTTGAGTTGGATACCAAAAGAATCATAGTTTTTTAGTTCATTTTTTTGAGTTGACAAGTGCCAAGGCTATAAAGTTTAATAGGAGCAGGATTTTTCTTGATCGATTGGACTGTTTAAGCAGTATTTGGCAGGCACATACAGTCCAATGCTTGTTTTCATTGGCAGTAATTTGCTTCACGTTATTCTTGTTGAAACTGGTATGTTTATTTTAAAATAAAATTATTCAATAATTACATTGAATTATCTTTAATAGTGGAAGTTAAATTTCTTTAATACTGGCTATTTTTTCTCAACGGCTTGTTTGCTGGTTTTAAAGTCTCCAACAGCTATTTTATTGAATACTATGTGTGTGTGTATATATATATTAGCTATAGCTTGCACAAGAAAAAAAAAGCTACATCCTTCTTCCTCTTCCTTCCTATGAAATTTTCTCTTCCGTTTATTTATTTTACTGAGATTTTGAGCAACATAGTCAGAAAGTGTTTGTATTTGGGTCCTTTCTCAGTGTAAAGAAGAACCTAGACAGAGGAGATTCTGGGGACGTAGTGGCATTTTTTGAACTGCTTGCACAAATTGGGCAGAGCCACGAAACGTCTTAAAGAGAGCGACTTAGTCCGCGACTCATTCCCAAGAATCGTTCATAGCTACATGTTGTATTTTCCGGGTAATATTGTTCTCTTAATTTAATTTATGCACCAACAATTTTAAGACGTTCTATCTGCCATAGATGTTGGGAACCAATTTTAAAAGTAGATTTTGGATGCTACTCAAATTATTTCCATAATCATTCATGTATTTTCTAGCGGGTAACTAATTCCTGCATATTGAAGGACACCGTGGTAGCATGACTAAATATTTATCTAATCTCGTTGGCTAATGGTTCGATTTTGGCAATTTTGGCTTTGACAATACCCATGGTTGGTATGAACATGAGATAAGTGATTTCTACCTCGGTAACTCCTAATAAGCTTATTGGTTTGTTATATTTGATTTACTGCTTCTAGCTGCTGGCTTTTCCTTTGAGCTTTTGGAATTGAATTTTATGACCATTACAAAACGGGAGTTTTCTTTTTATGTTGGCTGGAGAGTTATATTTATATTTGTATCCCTTTGAAGCATAATTAGCCTATCAGGTGTGTGAATCACGCTACTTCTCCTTTTTGTGAAGCATTCGATGATTTCATTATTATATTTGTTATGGTTATCAATGACTTCTGATTACTTCGGGAGTTTTCTTATTTTGTAAAGGTTGAGAATTTCCACAACTAGTGGGGATTGAGAATTCTAGTAAGCCTAACATTCCATTTGAAAATGTGGGGATACGTTATATTCATTTAATGACCTATCTAAATAATAAGTGAGTATATACTTTATTTTGGTAAACATGCCAATATATCTATGTGAAATTTTCTTATATCATGCAACATTATTTTGAGACTAATTTGTGTTTCATCTTGATATGAAAGTGGGCGTGACTAATGACATTCTTTGTTTTAAATTTTGGTGGAGACATTTTATTGTCTTAAAGAGTTTCTATTGACAATTAAGAAGGTGCAGTGACAACCTGAATGTGCCATGTAGCTACTTGAAGTGCATAATAAAGAAAGCTTTAGCAGGTGCACCCAAAGAATTGATATATTTTAATGAGTACCAACATTTGAGAGGTATTTTTGATTATATTAATTGATATATAGTGAATTTATGTTATACTTTAATATATAGTAATGCACATGTGATCTCTAATGATATTAAGATGAAATCTACTAATCATTTGCGTGCAATGTTCTAGCAAATATTCCTGATAGATATACAGGTTTACAAGTGGACCTACTCCGGAGCATTGGTATGCTATTGGGGGTCATGTGGTACCTTAAAAGGACGATGAACCTTAGCTTAAACTTTGAGAAGTTTCCCGCGGTCCTAGAAGGATATAGCGATGTTGATTGGAATACCATGTTAGATGATTCAAGGGCTACTGGAAGTCTAAGAAACAGACTATTCTAGCTCAGTTATCAATGGAGTCAGAGATGATAGCTCTATCAATGGCTAGTGAAAGCAAGTTGGTTGAGAAACTTACTGTTAGATACCTCCTTGTGGGAGAGATTGATACCAGCTGTTCTTATCCAATGTAATAGTGGATTATGTATGGTTTGATGAGAATTTAGGTTATCCTTTGACGAAAGGACTAACACGAGAAAAGGTTTCGAAAACCTCAAAAGGAATGGAACTAAATCCCTGGAAAGTTGAGTCACTTGTGATGGTAACCCAATCTATAGAATGGAAATCCCAAGAAATAGGCTCAATAGGTAATAACAAGTCATGTAGTGATATGAGTGAAGTCTTGCTAGTATTGTTCCATGTCCAACCTTAGAAGCATGAAATCTTGAAGCGATATAAGGTTGAGTTATTTATAACTCTTAATGAGATCTATACTCTATACTGAGTGGGATATCTAGCTGCATGAATATCCTTGATAGTCTCACCTATGTGAATGTGGAAGTGAGGCCGCTTTCTATGGAAATTTGGGGGTAATTTTCTAGAGCATTCACTATACCAGGATATAAGCACATGGCCATAAGGTGCTGGCTTTTGAACTTCACCCCAGTAGGGTTGTGTGTGCGTTCTTATCAGAGAAAGAGTTCAAAACTATATGTTACTCTTTATATTCCGGAAAAATTAACGGCAAAATGGATGAAATTCGAAAAAATTAACGGCAAGGGCTAAATTGGCGATTTTAATTAATTCGGGGACTAAATTGGCTGATTTTTAGTTGAGGGGGTTAATTTCTACAAGGTCATAGTTTAGAAGATAAAACGACTGAAAATCCTAAAAAGCAATAACAATATAATATTTTGGAAAACAAGAAGTCCAAATAGGATATAAATAGACCTACATAACTAAAATTTGAATTGGGCGGTGGCATGAAATATTTAGTTATATACCAATTCTTAGCATAGTGATATAAATAAACCCTACACCATTTAATTTCTATAAACAAACAAAAAAAGATCCAAAAAATGACAGCTGGCCATATTGAATTTAATTTTGATTATTAAATTACTTTGACGCCCTATTGAGTGTTTTGGGTTTTTTTTAATGTGGTTTTAGAGTTGTGTTTGTTTAAAGAAATCGATGGCAGTTTTTTAATTTATAGGAAGTTCGAAGCTTATTTGTTATGTTGTAAATGAATTTTTGGTGTGTTTCTAAAGTCTATTTTACATAGGGTTTTGTTTTTATAATTTGGGCCCCTATATTGGGTATAATAGTGAATCTCCCTTATAAAAAAAGGCGAAAAAAAAGATGAGAGATTGTGGCATGAAGTAGTAGCCAACTTTGAAAGGTGGGTTGATATTAACAAGTTCTTGTTGGGAGTTTGAATGAATTCATGGGCTTGTATGTTATTATGAGGAGAAGCACGTGAGATGTTTCCCCATATAATCACTTTAAAATGATTTTAAGTGATTTTGGGGATAAGCATCTCCCATGTACTTCTTCATAAAATCATTTAAAACTTATTAGTGGAACTTGGGCCTCACCTTTGGATTGAACTTGAAATATATATAAATAATCTTGAAAATTAAATAATACAAATTTATAAATAAACCCAATCCTAAATATGTATTTATAAAAAAACGCAAGCACTATTTAAACATAGAAACACACCCAAAATCAACCCGAAAGTCAACTTTTTGGGTGTGTTTATAAATGGGTTTGGAGTGTGTAATGATGGGTTTTGGGTGTGTTTATATGTTTAAATAGTGCTTGAGTTTTTTTATAATTTCAACCCCCATTTTGGGTGTTTTAGTGTAATTCCCATTAAATAATCGTAGACTGGGCCTTAGGCCTCTTGGACTCTTCTGAATTTTAAATTATTTAATTAATTTAAATGCGGATTAATTTTTCCAAACACTCCCAAAGAGAGAAATATACAAGTTCACCAGTAGCTTTAAATACAGATAGTTGAATAGGAGGTAATCACCAGTAGAACTTCAAGCATAGATAGTTGTATTTGACATTTATTTTTATCTATTAGATGAGATTACCCTTAAAAGTTCACGCACATACCACTCATGTGACAATTTTAACAGATATTTGGATGAAATTGGCTAAAAACAAATAGTGGGGGCTAAATTGGTGATAAAATTTTGTCATGCCCCGATTCGGAAATAAGGAATATTCCCAAAATCAAGGCGCCTGAATTGAACGAAATAAAATAAATATTGAAAAATTGGTTAAAATACATTTCCCTTATAAATAAAAAGTAATAATCTTACAAGTATACAATATATAAATAAAAGTTTATCAAACCCTCAACTAATCCAACTTCTCCGATTTAGTCATTGTCTTACCTACTAATTGATCTTAAAAACAAAATATGTGAGGGATGAGCAAACCACCGCTCAATGAGTAAATTATGTAATATGCGAGTCAAGCAATGTCATTTTACACACTCTAGAACATATAATAAAAGATATACTATCCAAATCATTACTTCATAACTTGGTTATTCTTCACAAATTGTACCTAGCATGTGACCCCTATTTGCCTCACTACCCTATGTCCTCCGTCTGGTATATTTATCCTTCGGATACCCTATCACTGAAGTTCTCATATTCTATGAATAGTACTTATTTCACAAAAACTCCATATAATATATATATTATGTGAAATATTGCATAAATTAGATATGCTTGAATTGAAAATAGAGAGAGATATGTAAATAGAACAAATCCATGATAATCCATAATTTTCACATTTATATCACAAAATAAGAACTTTTAGAACACATTACATAACACTCTCATCATGATAATTATCAAATATTGCAAGACAAACCCACATGTTTTTCATCTTGTTTATGTTTCTTCTCTCTCTCTCTCTCTCTCTCTCTCTCTCTCTCTCTCTCAAACACTATTTCATGGTAAAAATATATTCTAAAGAATTGGAATGATTTATTGAAGCAAAGGAAGGAGGGTATTTATAGGAGGCTATGGAAGTAACAAGCATATTAGAATCTTAAGGGAATAAATAACTCATTCCTTTCCACCAATGATATCATAAGGAAATATGTGACTCATTCATTTCCACCAATAATATCTTAACACAACTTGTATATGTTATACTGATTGATTACCATTAATTTTAAGTTTATAGATGTGGAGGCTATAAGAATGGTGCCACCTCCAATTAAGGTAATAATTCCACCCAAGACCTAGATATAGATCTTCACAATAAATATTAAATAATGAATATTTCTTTAAATTAATAATATATATTTATAAATTTTTTTTTAAAAAAACAGGTCTTCACAAATTTACTTTAAGGGCTAAGTTAGCTGAAAAAATAAGAGTGCTGTTAAACGAACTCTAAATTAACTGAGTACACCCTAATGTTTTAATTAAAATGTAAAATTAACTAAGTACACCCTATAGAACTACCAAAATATCCCTGGTTATACCCTAATACTTGTAGCATTATTCTATAATTGATTTTCAGCTTGATTTTTTTAATAGTGTTTATAAATCTTTGACTTTTCATATAGATTTATGCTTCTACTAAAACTGTTAACACTTTTTTTGCAATTCAAAGTTCTTGCAATCACCACCTCTTTTGTTAATAGTGATTTTTTATGCATGTTTCAGTTATATTCTACTATGCTACTGTGAAATTTATTTGTTCTCAACTTTCCCAACCTCTCTAGATGGACTATTCGTAGTTGGAAACCAATAACTTGTATTGCTCTCCACCTCTTATTGTTTGTTACCTCTAAATACAGGAAAAATATTTGAGAAAGCTCTCCGGATAAGAATGCTAATACACATTTTGTTGGGATTCAAGATCATATCATTTTGGGAAGCACTGATAAATAGTTTGTTCTTACTTAACAAAGTTAAGCTTTTGAATAGAGAAAAGGTTTTATTTGCCTTTTGACTTCCTTATTAATGTCACCAATATGATGCTTCACAAAACTACTCAATAAATATAGGGTCATTATTATAAGGGTCTACTACACCAGCTTCATATCTAAATTGACGTATACGATCCTGATATGGCGTAAGCCAATTTGATGCAGTTATGGTTGCACATCTCAACCAACGCTCATCAACTGGTGGCATAGGGTGTTGACCTTCCAAATAAACCTGTAAAATAAAAAATAAAAAAATAAATCAAGTTATGTGAAAAGAATAGTAAACATATATATATATATATATGCATAAACATCTTAATTGTTTTACCTTAATCCAATGGTTGTGGTTAACAAATCCATCGAAATCTGACGGCGATAGATAGAATCCAATGGAGCAGTCTCATATGGAAAAAAGTGAATGATGCACTGACCAAGTCACGAGGATTACATTATAACAAGATGCAATGAGGTGTCCCATATCTGGTATAGTCATCCACCTATCTTGAAGTGGGAAGTCCTCAAAATAGTCCAACATATACTCAATATGTTGTACCCGTTCTTTACCATTTAATATTAACTCGTATATGACTGATTCTTTCCTCAACTCCTTCAACAAGCCGCTGCGTACTTTGCGCTAAGCATTGTCACCAAATCCCATCAATGATCCAATGGCTCTAAAACCACAATTACCATCACTCTTAACATCTTGTGCCCCTCTAATATGTATCAACATATGTTTAGGAAACTACTTGTTAAACTCTGGTGTTAAGCAAGAGTAATCTACAATGGGTTTAGGCCTATAGACCTGCATATTACAATTACACCAAAATTACAATATAAACGACAGTATACAAATTTAATATTATAACTACTTACAGGTAGCTTCGAAGGCTGCTTCTTTGGATTCACATATGGCAATGGTTAGATACATCTTCTGGACTTTAAAAAAAAAAAAAAAAAAAAAAAAAAAAAAAAAAACAAAACCCTCATTTGTCATGTTTTGGTACACATGCTTTAGTCTAAACCAACAACAACAAAAATCAAAGTTAATACCTCTTTTGATGACTTCCTCGAAATGTATGAAGCATCCATTCCAAAATTTCAAAAGTAACCCAACTTGCAAATCTGCATAATTTCAAAAGTACAAAAGAGGCTTTGAAACTCCTTATAATAGGAATCCAAATACATTAATAAATAAATAAATAAGCAATTCAAATAGAGCATTACTTTACAGTGGACAACTCTGAATGTCATAGTACCTAAACCTCCTACACAATTGGAAGAGGCTTTGTCAACGGAACTGCGTGCAAGACAACAATGTATTGCAGAAGTCACAGAGATTATCTTTGCTGATGATCTTATTAATGTTGCTTTTATTTTGATATATGCTACATAAACAGGAATAATATCTCTACAATGTACTAATAAGAGGCCAATTCATTTGTGTCATTCCAAAACTGTTTTCTAATGGCTTGTTCTAAGCCCCACATTGAGGTGGACGTGCATGAATAACAAGACTTTTTCCCCCAAAGCTAGTGCTCTAAGGTTTACTTTTTGGTTCACTAAAATTGATCAAGTTTCATGTTTTTCACTTATAAGAACATAAGAGAAAAACAATAAGAAAGGTGCATGAGTGGCAAAAGAAAGTCACTGCAAACTTCATCAAATTGGCCCTAGTAGTACTAGTTAAGATATTTTTAATCATACACACTCACAAGCCAGAAAAACTAAGTCCTAAAAGGGGGATGAAGATGGTGCCACCACAGTAGGGTCAAAGAGTTTTTCATTCATGTTGTTAGTGAACTAGGCAAAAGTAATATGCATAAATTCTATTTTTACAGTATATAAGTCAATTCACCATAATATTGTTTTGACAACTTACTCGATTGAAATTATCGTGTCTCTTGTCAGGAATTCAATGATTAATCAGGCATTCACATAATCTCCACCGCTGCGCTTCCTTTTGGACCGCAAGAAGAAGCAGATTTGAGCCCAAGTCTTCTTCTGCTTAGCAGGTTGTGCTTTAACTTCTCTTTTCACGACAAGCTCAGTCATGTATTGAACAATAGCCTAAGATTATATTTGCTCCAAGCCATTCTGACTTGTGGATCACAAAGATGGGAACCAAGTAATCTCTTGATTAGGGTTGAATATGGTTAGTAAGGTGTACTTATTAAAATTATATTTGTTTCACAATTCCATATATCTTTTTTGGTCATTTTATATTAGGGTAAATCAGTAATTCAATATATACTTTTGTAGTAGGGTGTACTCAGTTAATTTTAGGGTTCGTTTAGCAGCGCTAAAAAATAATTCAGGGTGTTACAATGATCAAATTGTATTTTGCCAACCAAATGGAGATAACCATAAAAACATCACCAAACTCAAGTAAGAAGGCCAGTGAAATTAAAACAAACTAATGAAGATCAAATACAATTTCGGATAAATTAATCAAAGCTTAAAAGGTTTCAGAATTGACAATTCTGTCCGTCCGCATTGCCTGTCCCATCATTTTTGCTGCTAATGGAAGGCCACCACATTTTAGTTTGATTTCCAACTTCAGATCATCCAAGTTTGAGGCATTCAACAGAGCCGGATCATAGACATTCAACAGAGCCTGATCATCCTCAACCCGATCATCCTCATCATCCTCAACCCGATCATCCTCAACCTCATCATCCTCATCATCCTCAACCCGATCATCCTCATCCTCATCATCCTCATCCTCAACCCGATCATCCTCATCCTCGTCCTCATCACCCTCAACCCGACCATCCTCATCCTCAACCTCAACCCGATCATCCTCAACCCCACTATCCTCAACCCGATCATCCTCAACCCGATTATCCTCAACCGTGTCCTTGAAAATTGCCCAGCAGATGTCGGGGTCTGAAAGTGGCAAAAGGTGGTGTATATTTTTCTCCCCAACCATCTTCTTTGCTACTTCTTCATTCCTGCTTGTAGCTATGACTCTTCCCCCATGGCCTTTTGGAAATCCAAATGCAAACCGATCATCCCATTTCTTATCACGGCTCAAACAAGAATCCAACTTTCCGTACCATGAATCGGTCTCCCTAGCATCATCAAGCACAATCAGATACCTCTTGCCCACCAATTGCTGGTAGAGAGCACACAGCAGTCCTTCGAGGCCACGCTTCTCATCGAAAATGGACTTCACCGTCTCCTTTCCAACTCCAAGGTACACCAACATTCTTTTGACAATTGCTACTTTCAGATCTTCATCGTCGTGGCCATCCGGGTGTCTGGCCATGCACACCCAGATCCTTGGAAGGAATTTGTCTTTCACCTCTGGTTTGTTGAATACCAATTGGCAAAGTGTTGTTTTTCCTATCCCTTCCCTACCAACAACGCCTATTGCCTTGAATCGATCTCGACTTTCTTCTTGGACAAGCAACTTTTCCATTGACAACACATCATCGTCAAATCCATACACCTTGGATGCATCCACTGAACGAGTTGACCACCTGAAAGGCTCTATGTCCTTTGAGCTAATGGAATCAACATTCCTTACAACTTGTTCAATGGTCCGATTCGATCCTCTATTACTGTTTCCTAGGATAGTCTTGAGTTCCTTTTTGATTTGTTTTAACTCCATTCTGATTCTGTTGATGGTGAGTAGCTCCTCAGGAGAGTAGAAACCGTGTTTCCTTGATAGAATCCGGCACTCGGTCAAAGCATTGTTGAGGTTGTATAGCTTGTCCCTCAATGATTGATCTACAAGCGCGGAGGATGACCTGAAAATTTCTTTAAGCACTGTTTTTATTGCTTGAAATTGGCTGTACCTGGGAATCTTGGAGATACTTTTGTCATTCCCATCAAGAACATTCTCGAATTGTTCCATTTGATAATGTTCAATTTCTTGAGCCATAGTACTCTCTCTCTCTGCAACTCTCCTTTATCTGTACATTCAAATTCTAAGGGTTAGTTAAAAAAAATCAGCTAGGCCCTTGGATTTCTCTTTAAAAGCACAAAATGTAGATAACAAGAAAGAGGAAAACCTGATGAATTCGAAAACCAAGCTGAAAACAACAAGGAGAGTCTCGTCACCACACCTAACAAGCAGAAGAGTTCGTTTTGTTGTTTCTAGACCATGGAATAGGGAAAGAATGAATTCTGAAAAAGCCAAACAATGTTCTTTTTAAAAGAGAATGTGTCATTGTTACACTAGTATATCATGCTCAAAGTGTAGTGAACAAAACAAGTCATCTCGTTGTTCTTTTTCTTTTTCTTTTTCTTTTTCTTTTTCTTTTTTCTTTTAAGATGGTATCACTTTTGCTTGTAAATATTCATTACTTGTAAAATGTGTTGATCAGCTGAATATATACATATTACCAATAAAACCAGAGCTTGGAACACACAGTTCTGTTCTTGGGACGTTGCTTATATTTTGGAAAATTGATGGTGGGGATTTGTGTCAGTTTGTAAGATATCTTGTAAATACAGTTACTTTTATTTTCAGACGAAAGGAAAGCACTAATCTCAATCAAAATTCATGAAATTGCGTTTTGACAGTATGTATTGCCCCTTTGAACTTGCATTGTGTTTCCTGGAAGAAAGAATCGAATCACTTGGTTAGAGAGTGCAAGAGAAGACAACAGGGAAGAGGAGAGAAGGGAAGGAGGAAGGAGCCTGAGGGTGGGGTAGTAGAGATGCCCTTGAAAAAATGGTGCACATTAGGACATGGCATTACTTTGTAAGGAAAAAAAGGGCTCAACTTGCCCCCTTTTTTCTTACTTTGTACGTAGTTGTTGGTCTACATCCGAACTGAACCGGCTAGGCTGTTAGAAAAATTGATTCTCAGATTTTCCAAAATGAGTAATTTCAGATGAATTGGAGTTTTACAAACATAAAGGAAGAACTGTACGATGACTTCTTCAACAGATTGGGGTGTGTCAATAAAAGCTCCATTTTATTCACGTGTATAAAGTTTGCATATGAAGAACAATGAAAGGGCTGAAAAAACCAAAATCACACTTTTTGTTAGTGAAATCCCAATCACCGGACTCGAACTGAGGCACCAATTTGATTAAACCATATTGTTTACACATACGCGCTCGTGCAGACATGGTACGTGGAGTCCATCTTATATACATAATAAAGAAAAGAATAGTTTCCTCCAATAATAAAACATCACTCTTGCCAATAAGTTTCCATGAGATTTATTGTACACAAGTAAACCAAATCTCATGAGAAGACATATCACATAATTTTACAACCTCTTCTATGGAAAAGTAATTGAAAACAAAAAGAAAGACTGAACAAAAAATTAGTGTAAATTACTGGACAAACCTAGTTCAATATTGTGAGCACTTGAGCTGAATGGTGTGAACGCATCATACCAAGATTTCCCGTAGCTTTGATTCCATTGTTCCATTTCTGGGATTCAGCCATACTCCACTCTCATCGCATGGGAAGAAAGTGAGCCTAGGACATCTAAATTTCTCCAAGTACATCAAGTGAGGAAATGAAACTGGGATTTCTTTCCAATCCATCTCTAGTTCACTCAAGAACTTCAATCGCAGTGTCTCAACTGCCCACCAGTCGTTCTCCTCAACTTCGCCAAGATTTCGGAGTTGTCCTCCTCTAATGTAGAGTTTCTTCAGGCTCTTTAGATTTCCAGGCCTCAACCAACTGGGTGCTGTCTTCTGAGGGTAGCACTGCAGGTCCAGTTTCTCTAGATCTAATTCCTGATTCAAGGTAGCAGTCGACCTAGGCGCCAAGGTAGCAGTCGACCTAAGCGCCCCTCTGAATGCTGGCAGTTTGCTGAACAAATGGTTTTTTGAGATAGTTGGTGGTGTTGCTGGCTGTGGTGCAGCATTGTGTTGAGTGCTTGTTGTCGTGGGTTGAGCAGCAACATTATCTGGCTGGCCTTTATCCTGAGTGGTGGCTGGGGGGTATAACCGTCCCCATTCTATCGTTAGCTTTCGAAGCCGTCCAAATTTTTGTAAAACAATGAGCTCATCTTCTACGGGAAAATCCACCCTACTTGTGTGGATTGACAATTTCCTCAACTTCTTCAGTGCTGACAAATCATGAAAAGTACATGAAGTATCATTCTTATCATGAACACCAACTACGAATCCTTTAAGAACTTGGAGTTCTGAAAGGAAGGCAATCCCCTTAGGCATGCGCTCCAGCAAGTAACACTCAGACATATCCAAGTGTGTGAGATTCTTAAGTGAGCCTATTGTCTCTGGAAGTAGCTCTAAATTCGGACATGCTCCAAGATCCAAGATCCTCAAACTAAGAAGCTTGCATACGGAATCAGGAAGTTCCATAATCCTAGATATTCCTTGCAGACTTAAAATTCTCAATGTGTCAAATGGATCAACCCTCTTAAGAATTCAATGTCATCTACTTCAATGTGATGCTTAGCCCTGCTGTGCCACCTTCCAAGATGAAGAACCTTCAGATTCCTCAACTTAGACCAGTCCACATTGGAAAAATCTGGATAAGACTCATTCACATTGAATACGGTGTGCAGCATTTTTTGATCCAAATCATTTGGTTTATTTGCCACCTTCTCCATCAGATGACGAGAGCCCTTCACCCGATACACCAAACACGCCCGATAAGAATGCGATGAAAAATTGGCTGTGGGACTACCTTTATTATCAAAATTAAAGAATCTCACCTCTTTGGCAATCACAATTACAGCAGAACGAATAAGATGGTGCATTTTAAAACTGTGCACAACCAATCTCCGTTTCTTATAAACAGGTTCAATGCAGCCCTTCTTGGTTAACTCTTGAAATATACCATCAGCAATTTCCTCCACTGTCTTTTCTCCATCAACAGGAGGGTTCACAAACCCTTCTCCAACCCACCAATGTACCAAAACCCTCTTCTTTATAGCCTCATTGGCAGGAATAGCAGCGAAACACAACAAACAGAGCTTTGTAATAACACTAAGACTGTTATAAACAACCCGAAATTCTTTAAGAGTCGGGCTATCCTTAAACACCTTACTTAAATGTAAGTCAGGCACACTATCAGGCTCTTTGCCAATGTCGGCCAGAACCAAAGGATTGTCCTTGTTGAACAGAAATTTGTCAGGAGACGGAATTAGGAGCTTTAGTTTCATGATTACCTTACTGTGCACCTGGAGCTTCTCCAGAAATTTCTTAGCTTTGGACTCATGGATGGGAGTCTGTGTTGGGGCAGCCAAGAGACTGTGTTGCGGTTTTAGGAGAATCTTGAAAAGATCACAAGCGCTTTCTTCAAAATTGTTGAGTCCGGTGAAAGTCTGCGCAATGTAAATGAGGTCTTTGCGTAGCTTTTCAATTTGAGTAGCCATGTCCTTCTCATCGTCTTTGGCTTTGTTGAGGTGGTCGATCAGAGCGGGAATGATGTCTACTCTGATGCTCTCAAAGCAGATTTTGTCGGATTTGAGAGTAGACGCAGACATGCTTCAAGTAAACAAACGAAATCCAGAGTAAACATATGTCAAATGGAATTGAAATTTTGATTATTGTCAAATGGAATAATATAGAATAATGGAGAATGAGCAAACCGACTTAGCAAAGTCAGTGAATCCAAAATATCATGATATCAAATAAACTAACCGACTAAGCTATGTCCTATATATAGGCCTGTTGCTTTGTACCTTGTCTCCTCCATTCAAATAAAATTACTCTGTTACTCTTTCAAAAGTTTTCTATTCATAGTTAAGCTATTGTCCTATACATTAAAACCGACCATTTCCTAAACCTCGTCATCCATAAATTAACAATGATACTGTCAACATGGTAACGAGATATTTGCTTGTACAAACAGAAATAAATAATTCACTCATAGGGCATTTAGCACAAAAATTATCCACAAATAATAACAGAATGATGTATTTTCCGTACATTGCAAGAAATGGTAAGCAGTTAGCTTTAGCTGACACAGGAATTATATAATTGAAAATAATTTCAACAAAAGAAACAGAAGCAAACAACTTACTCTTGAGTTCAGGAGGCCTTGATGTTCTTCAAATTGCAACAGAATGTTCCAAATGCAATCACAGTGATTTAGAACCAACAAAATTAATAAATATATATAAAAGAACCCATTACCTTTAAAAGTACGAAAGCATCAATTCTTTGCTGAGAGAATGAGTTTTACTCCCTCTTTGTTGAGGCTGCTTTTCATGTGGGGCTTAGGACTGGTGGGGGCCTTCACCAATGACCGGATGAATGGATACTTGGGGAGGAAGATGTACATCCCCTTTAAAGGACAATCATGGGAATATCATATAGAAGATATGCATCACTTTGTGGAAGATCCTTAATTTCAAAACTCCCTCACCCATGTGTGAGTAAAAAAGGAATGAACCAGAGAAGGCGTGTTACCTGTGAGATGAATATCGCATCAACGTATATGAGAAGAATCATAACTTGAGAATATCGGTGAAAGGTGAACCTGAAAGCATCGGGCTTGGTTTCAATAAAACCATAGGTGATGATGAAAGAGCTAAAGCGGTGAAACCATGTACGCGGTGCTTGCTTTAAGCTGTAAGTGGCTTTGTGGAGTTTACAAATATATGAGGATGTACGATAAGGGTCGACAGAACCTGGTGGTCGAGTCATATACACTTCTTCACGATTCACGTGAGTGATCCAGGGAGGAAGCCATTTTTTGTTGATTTATAAACTCTTAAGCAGATTTATTAGGTAGTTAAATACATTTTCGTTTTAACTCTGTTTTGTAAGCCAAATGTAAGCTTTCTATTGGATGACTAAAGGAATGGCTGAGATCTCTTTGATGTACAAAGGATCCAGCTATTAAGCCTAACAGTCATATATTCCCTCACACTATGTGCGTGAGGTTGTAAGGAAGAGAGAGTGACTGAATGGAATAGAACATTCTGCTGCTACACGTATAGCACAGAAATCTTTGCTCTAAATTTTTTTTTTCTTCTTCATCACTCTGCCTTCCAAAATCTTAGAAAACACTAACATTTTTGACCTCTAACTAATGAGAAGGCCAACCACATGAGACTAAAATGGGGAGAACCATGGGAATGGATTTTGTCTCATGTAATGGTGAGGCATTGTAATGTTCTCACCTGTGAGGATTTATCAGTTATGTGCTGTGCAAAGTATGGAAGCTGGAGGTGTTGACTGTAGAAAGTCCATGAAGATATGGTTGACAAAGATTGCAGTATTTGATCAGGAACCCATCCTACATTCCAAACCAACTCTACCAGTAGCATGGAAAAGAGAGTTAAACACTTAAACTTGTTCAAAGGAGTTGGCATGCGTAAGATACCTTCCCTTTCAAGAATTTCCCAAGATTCTCAATTTATTATTTGAGTTTTACCCTTTAATTCAATTTAGAATTTGTCTAATTTCAACATTTGAAGCAAAACAAAAAACCAAAAAAATAATGCTAAATAAGGATCACAACCTACTGCGTTCAGTATGGAAGCAGAGCAATCAGTGTCAGGCAAATTAAGGTCTTTTTCGTGCTTTGTTTGAAGTCGCCAAAAGGGTTCAGCTTTTCAGTTTCCATATAAATCAGGTAAATATTTCAAAGTACATGCTTTTCAACATTGGATATAAGTTAACTATGAAAAAATTACAAACTCATTTAACATGAGTGCAGGATCAAAGTTGATCTCTTAATTATGATGATATATTTCTAGATTAATAGATCAAAACCTGATAGATTTCGAAAGCAAAATACAATGGGGAAGCATTAGATTACTATTATTGATACCTGTGGATTCCACTGCGTGGATTACTTCGGAACTTGTTCAAGCATTGCCTGTCCCATCATTTTTGCTGCTAATGGAATGCCCCCACATTTTTGATTGATTTCCAACTTCAGATCTTCCAAGTCTGAGGGATAGGATAGAATCGGATCATTCTCAACTGCGTCTTTGAATATTTTCCAGCAGCTTTCAGGGTCTGAAAGCGGCAAAAGGCGATGTATATTTTCTTCTCCAACCATCATCTTTGCTAGTTCTTCATTCCTACTTGTGACTATGACTCTACCCCCATTCCCTTTTGGCAATCCAAATGCGAACCCATCGTCCCATTTCTTATCACGGCTCAAACAAGAATCCAACTGTCCGTACCATGAATCGGTCTCCCTAGCATCATCAAGCACAATCAGATACCTCTTGCCCACCAATTGCTGGTAGAGAGCACACAACAGTCCTTCGAGGCCACGCTTCTCATCGAAAATGGACTTCACCGTCTCCCTTCCAACTCCAAGGTACACCAACATTCTTTTGACAATTGCTACTTTTAGATCTTCATCTTCATCCGGGTGTCTGGCCATGCACACCCAGATCCTTGGAAGGAAGTTGTTTTTCACCTCTGGTTTGTTGAATATCAATTGGCAAAGTGTTGTTTTTCCTATCCCTTCCCTACCAACAATGCCTACTGCCTTGAACCGATCATGACTTTCTTTTTCAAGAAGCAACTTTTCCATTGACACCACATTATCATCAAATCCATAAACCTTGGAATCATCTACTACATGAGTAGTCCACCTCGAAATCTCTGTGTTCCGTGAGCTTGTCTCTGTGCCCTGTGAGCTTGAAACACCGTTGTTAGGTTGTAGTTTATCTTTCGTAGCCTTGAGTTCCCTCTTGATCTTATTTAACTCCCTCCTGATTCTGTTAATGGTGAGTAGCTCCTCAGGAGAATTGAAACCGTGTTTTCTTGTTAGCATCTGGCACTCAGTGACAACGTTGTTGAGGTAGTAAAGCTTGTCCCTGATGGATGAATCTACAGGGGAGGATGAGCTGAAAATGTCTACAAGCAAAGACTTTATTTCTTGAAATTGGTTGTACCTGGGAATTTTGGAGATACTTTGGTCTTTCCCATCAAGGACTTTCTCGAATTGTTCCTTTAGATAATGTTCAATTTCTTGAGCCATAGTACTCTCTCTCTGCAACTCTCTGTTGTTTATTCAAACTTGTAACAGCAACTGGAGCTCTCTGCTGCACAAAACCCAGAGGTGAGGATGTAATAAGTACACAATTCTGAAGGATAAAGAAGAAAGACAGAGAAAAAAACCTGATGGCTTCGGTGGACTGGAAACTGAAGAACCAAGCTGTACAAAAAGGACTAGTGAGAGTCTGCTTTCCTGTTGATTGACTTCATCTGGAACGACCACTTCTCAGCCATTCTAGGAGTCAACTGTGAAGTCTATGTAAAATATCCCATAAATGAAATAAACTTTCTGAGGAAATATAATTGCAGCAGTGTTGTAAAATATCTTATAAATGAAATTGATTTTATTGTCATAAGTAAAAAATAAAAAAAATATTCAAAGATCATTATGATTATTAAATTTTTTTCTTTAGAAAGCTATTAAATTTAATATATGAGAAAAGAATGAAACACACACTTGGGTTCACCTGCTAAACCGGTAACTGGTTCTCGTTCTTGTTGCCATAGCATCATCAAACGCTTCTACATTATCCTTCTCTCTCTCTCTCTCTCTCATCTTTTACTTTGAGTTCTGCAGTCTGCAGCCATGGCGCCAAGTACTTAACATCTATTGCTGATCCTTTTTTTCTGGTATGAAAACTCCACTCTGTTCTGTATATATTTTATTTGCCTTTTTTTGTCTCTCTAAGGTATAGATGAAGACTTTGGAAAATTAAATGAAATTACTTAATTTAACTAAAAAAGTCTGTCCTGTTTAATTATACAATATAACTTGTTTTTTGTTTGTTTGTTTGTTGAACCCATTGATGGAAAAAAGACAGAAAAATGGAAACTGAACATTTGATCAGTCACAAGCATCCACTGATGTTCAAGGAAGAGCAGAAAGAAAAACATGGCGGGCTGGCTTTTTGCTCAGGGTGTGCAGAACCTGTGATTGGCCCTGGCTACTGCTGCACCAAATACCCGGAATGCGACTTCATTGTCCATAAATTACTTAATTTTCTATGAAGGATCTTAGGCCCAGTCATTATTTTTTGGGCATGGAGCTTGCTCGTAATTCATCCAGTCTATCTCTTACTTAGACCAAATATGTTGTGGATCTCCTCAAACATGCTAACATGCATGAAGCCAAACTCGGGCCTACACCAGTTGTTGGTGGACGACGTCTTAGCATGTCTAATGGTGATCCTCTCTCTGATCCCACTGAGTACCATATTATTGTTGGTGCTCTTCAGTACTTAACCCTTACTCACCCGGACATTGCCTTTGCTATTAATCAAGTTTGTCAGTTTATGCATCAACCCATTACTGTTCATTGCTCGATGTTAAGTGCATTCTTCGTTAACTCAATGGCACGCTTACTCATGGGTTACTTTATTCGCCAAGAACTCTTCATCTCAGTGCCTATTCTGATGCCGATTATGGCGGGGATCCCAACAATCATCATTCCACTAGTGGCTATTGCGTTTATTTGGGTATTAACTTAATTTCTTGGAGCTCCAAAAAGCAACGCGGTGTCTCCCGCTTCGTAGTACCATCAGCTTGCCTCCACTCTGCCTTGGTTACGAGCTTTGTTTCTTGATCTTCGTCTTCCAGTTCCTTGCCTTAAGCTTTGATGTGACAATATTAGTGCTCTCTCTCTTGCCTCTAATCTGGTGTTTCACTCTCACACTCGCCATGTTGAGGTTGATTATCATTTTTTTTCGTGAAAAGGTGGTGCACAATGAGTTACTTGTTGCTTATTGTTCTACCGTTGATCAAATTGCTGATATCTTTACTAAGGGTCTAGCTCTTGCTCGGTTTTCCTTACTTCAGTCCAATCTGCATGTGTTCCCTCACCCCGTCAGCTTGTGGGTGGTGTAATGAGACTTGATCCTTAAAGGATTTAGTTTCATGTTTATTTGTATTTATTTCCTAGATTTGTTGTATGTATTCCTTGTCTCTTAAGGACTTGATTCTTGCCTAGAATAGGAAATCCTTTGTGTAGACACCAAGCAAAGCATTGTAAATAATTATGACATAGATCCCGAGTCTCTACATTTATCATCGGTGCATTTACATGCATTTAAGACAATCTTAACCATTTAATTGATCCAATGGAAAGTAATTATTCCACCTCATCATAATTGTATTGTATTAAAACTCTCATTTTGCACTGTATCAGTTATCCATCTCTTCCTCTCTCCTGCGGCTTTTCCGCCTTCTCTCCGTACTTGTATCATTTTCATAATTATCAAAATCTGGAATTTGATTCCAAAACTGACATTAATTCGGCATGTCTCATACCAACAAATTATCTTTTTTTAATGTATTGATTTTATAAACTATGGACACTATTGCTTCTTGAATTGCATATCGCTCTCATCACTTTGTCTTCGTTAATTTTTTTCCCCTTTTCAATCTAAATAAGATGATATAGTGTACATCAAAATTCCTTATTTCTATTTTGTTAGAGTAGTTCTTGATGGAAATGATTCTTTGGTCTAATCTCAAGCGTCAAGCTTTCATTCTTTTTTAAATAATAATAATAATCCTTTGGTTTCAGTTTGGGTGTTGGGTTTATATTTGTACCCAATCGGGGGATTCGTAAATATAGAGTGTTGGGTATTCGTCTCTTGCTTGATCTTCACGGGAGATCCAAAATAGTTTATTTTTCAATTACCTATGCTATCAGTACTCGCACAGAACACAATCAAAATGAAATCATGGCGTTTGTAATTTAACTTAAATCTGATATGTGAACTGGTTCTCATAAAAAGAAAATCCTACTAGGTAGAGAAAGAAGATGTTATAGTTCAAGGTGGGTATTTATTTAATTTGGTTATTTTGTTATTGAAAGGTGAACAATGTTAGGAGAGGATTTGATCCAATAAGAATAAGGTGCATTATAGCTTTAGTCTAAATACAATTAAAACTCATTAGATTAATTTAAGGGTTAAGATTGTTTTAAACGCAGGTAAATGCACTGATTTTAAATATAGAGGCTTAAGATCCTTATCACACTTTTGTTCAATAAAAATTGTTGAGAATATTCAAAACCCTTCAAGTATGAACATTAATATTAAGACTTAATTATTGAATTTGCCCTTGAAGCACAATTCTAGTTTCATTTTGCCCCTGAAACTCAGGCAACTATGCCTGGCAAAGTGCGACATGGAGTTCCAATGGGTAAAGCGACACAAATTGAGTTTTAGGAGCAAAGTGAGACTACAACTGAGATTCAAGGGCAATTCAACAATTAGGCCTAATATTAATAAACATGGAAGCACAATCAGACAACACTATTTTGCAGCGAATATCTTTAGTGATGATGAGAAGCTTCTATAGATTCTGCAGCTAGCCTGAATGTAGAGCAAAGAATATACTACAACTCCTCAAGCAATCAACGCACCAAACAAAGGGCAAAGGTGTTTTATTAAAGCAACAACCTTCCCCTTTTTTTATCAGTTTATGATACCTTGAAATATTATGAAGCCATTCTTATATTTCTTTTTTCTTTTTTCTTTTTTCTCCCTTTTTTTTTCTTTAACTTGAGAGCTCCATCAATATTTAGAAGACAATTACAAGGATGGATCGAGTTGGATTTATTTGAGACCTTTTGAAAGAGTGAACTTCAATAAAGAAAAAGAAAAATTGGATTCTTCCACTTTTCCTTTTCTTAACTTTTATGATGCTTTGACTGGCCCACCGGGTTCTCCAAAGTGATTGGTTTGCTTGCCATAAGAGAGGCTGCTATGATTAGTAAGTTGTGGACCTTGTGGTGAAGAGATTACACAGTTGACTTGACTCTCCCAGTTGTAAAGCAAACTCTCATTGCTCTTCTGCACCAAACCACTCATAAGGTTTGCTCTCCATCTATCTTTGATTTGATTATCTTCATTTTCCGCTTATTCATTTTCTTTGGTTTAACTTTAGGTGTTAATTTGGTGTTCAAAACACCATGTCATGAACTGAATATATTCTGATTGTTTGAAACTTGCATAGTAAGCTTGCTTTAAATTCATTTCTGCAATTTTTTTTTTTAAATTCTGTTCTTGTGTTAGTATGGGTTGTTGCTATAAATATTGCTTGTTGCTATATAAGACAAGATTAATAAGTTCTGGAAAAATAAAATAACCTAACTTAAATGTTTGATAACGTATCGTGTGTTAAGTCATTAGATTGTTGAATGGCTTAGATTTAACAAAATATGGGTAAATACAGAGGCTCAGAATCCCTTTGCTTGGTTAAAGAAGTAAAGCATCATTGTCTATACTATGCTTGATATAAACAGTGAACACCATGTTGTGTGCAAACACCATATTGTGCGCAAACACTCCAGGACCTTTTCATTGATGGACTATGCGATAACACACACACGAACTCCTTTAAGAATAAAACACATGCACACTGAAAAGAGAAAGCAAACACACAAGAACACAAAGATTTATAGAGATTCGGCCCCGTGCTTACGTTCTCTTGGTGATCCACCCGAGAAATTCACTAGTATGTAAGAACAACTTTTGTTACAATCTTGAACCCCCTTAGCTCTCACAAGATTCATAGCTCTCTTTTCTCTCGCCCTTGCCCCTGCATTTAACAGAAAAGTTAACAAAATTGACGGTAGGACCATTTGTCCTAACGAAACTAAAGTTAAAGGACCATGGAAACCATTTTGGAAATTGAGGTACTCAAATGCAAATCGGGTCTAAATTCAAGGATTAATAAAATGATTAACCCTTGTCAAATAGAAAAGAGTATTACCATATTTCTTAAATTAATTTTCAAATAGAAAAGAATGTCAATCTGTTCAAAATCTTTTGATAGTTAACAACTCAATCTTCAATACCAGAAGAAATTCAAAATAATTGGCAAAAGACAACAGATCAATACACTAATGAAGTTTCAGGAAATTCAAATTCAAATATCTACATGGGAAAGCAAGTAAAGTACGATTTGAATAACTAATTTGCCTCTTGTCTCGGGGATATGCTCTAAGTAAAAGATAACTCACCAACTGCGTTTTCATTGAAGAAAAAAGAATAATCAGTCACATGCAAAACTCAAGTTCTTTTCTTTTCTTTTATAAAGTGTATACTTCTCTCGGCAGCAAAGAATCCTCTGAATGCTTACTTATAGGTTAGATGCACATTTTAATACTTTGTTTCTGTGTATATATTCATTACTTCACTCCCCAGCAAAGAATTCACTAAAGAGTGCTTGCTATATATACACACACATATCTTGTTGCTACATATCCACTTTTATATGTCACTAGTCTATCTTTCAGCATCACACCATTTACTTATTCATTAGCTAGTGATCACCCCGAAAAAAAATTTAATAAAATTACTCTTGCTAGCTCTAGAGCCACGGTCACATCCACGTCACGCAAGTCGTCCTTAATTCAGGTATGAAAACCTCCACTCTATCCTATTTTGTGCTTTCAGATTTAGGAAAATATGTACAAGAATTACTTTTGTAGAATTTTTAAACTTATTTGGTTTTACCAATATTCATCCACATTTTGATATTTCATTGTCTAAATATCAAGACCAATGAAAATGAAACTTTAATCAAATTCTGAGAAGCTTATACAATTTATGTTTTATATATGATCTATTGGTGGTAGCAGTTGTTTTCTCTGTAAACATTTATTGCTGAGAGCAGAGAGAGAAATGGAGCTTCAACATTTCAGTCACAAGCATCCCTTGACGTACAAGGAAGAGCAGAAGAAAGAAGATGGTCGACTAGTTTTTTGCAATGCATGCGGGGATCCTGTGCTTGGCCCTAGCTACACTTGCAACAAGTATCCTCCTGGCTTCACTCTCCATAAATCATGTGCCGAGCTACCCCGTGAGATCAAACACCCTTTGCACCGCAAACACCCACTTGTTCTCCTCACACCTACAAAATACACTTGTGCTGCCTGTGACCAACGTTACAAAGCCAGCTTGGCTTATAATTGTTCCTTATGCCACTTCAACCTTGACCTCAAATGTTCTTCCAATTGGCAAAACATTATTGAAAATGATCGTCACGAGCACACATTCACCATCTTTCGGAAGCGAATAAAATTCAATTGTGATGCTTGTGGATCATATGGGAATGGTATCCCTTACTTTTGCAGCATCTGCCAGCTCCTAGTCCACAAGAGGTGCACTCCTTCGTTACCACGCGACATCAAAATAACCGGGCACCAACACTCTCTCATGCTCACATGGTCCCTTGAAGAAATTCGCCAAAGCAACCCATTTTGCAAAGTATGCTATACGAGCATGAAAAAGCATCGTGCCTTTTATTCTTGTCAATGCTGCGGTTACGTTGCCCACACTAAATGTGCAACACATGAGAGCTTCCGGGATGTTACAACCACTGACATTGTTGAGGATCAGTCTAAAAATATGATACTTGGAGCATCCCAGCAGATCAACATGGTGGAGTACCAAAGAGAATTAGCTGAACATCAAATCAAACACTTTAGTCATCAACATCTCTTAGCCCTGAATGATGAGGTTAAAGATGAAGACGATAAATCCCGTACTTGCGATGGTTGCATCGGGCCCATCACTAACGCATATTATAGTTGTACAGAACATGAACGTTGCCATTTCTTCCTCCACAAAACATGTGCTCAATTACCTACAAAGCGGCTTCACCCGCTTCACCCACTTCCTCTTACACTGCTCCCATGGGCTCCTTCTACTGACCGTGTGTTCTGGTGTTACTTGTGCAGGAACCTTTGCCAAGGCTTTGCATACTACTGTAGCAAATTCGACTTATACTTTGACCTTGAGTGCATTTCGCTTTCAGAGTCCCTTACACATGAGTTTTATAAAGATCGCCTCTTTTTCAACAGAAGCTGGGAGAAGCACTACAACCGTTGCTATGGTTGTAATACATATATTGAAGAAACTTTTGCTCGCTTCAGTTCTCTGACAAATAATGGCTATCATATCTTCAATTTTTGTATTCAATGTGTTAAGGTACCTTTGACTGCTAAGCACAGATACGACGATCATCCTCTCAAACTCACCTCTAAAGGAGATGGTTATTGTGAAATATGCGAAGGAAAACGATATAAACGAGAATGGTTGTACTCGTGCGAGGATTGTGACTTTGATTGCCATACTTATTGCATTCTGGGGAGGTATCCCCAAGTCAAGTTAGGGAGTACTTTCAAGATTAGTGCTCACCCACACCTAGTCACCCTCATCGATAAGAGAAAGAGCGTCATTCCTTTTGATAAGAGAAGTAGCATTCTTCCTTGTCAATTGTGCGGTGGACCTTGCGAAGGATTGGTCTTTGAATGCTCTGAGTGTCATGTAAATATCCACCGATCAGAATTATATTGTGTGAGTAACTTATTCTCATGCCCTCTTTCCTACCATTTCCGTATGATTTTCTGAATCAATTTTGTTGAAAATTAATATTGTTTATAGCCTGATTTATAGTTATAGTCCATATAGATATATGTTTTTCCAATTGGTTGCGTGACTATACAAAATGTGAGTCTCACCCTAATTAGAGAATTATTAGTGATTTCAAGGTGGCCAGTGAATGCGGTTCATACACACACATATATATACAATATTTTTCTTTTTCTGGATGTCCGGACGTTATTACCATGTGGACGTCATTATAAACAAGGAGGAAAGCAAAGAGGATATAGTACAAAATACATGAAGTCTACACAATTATAATGTCTGGACGTCCGCATAGGACAATATAGGCAAGTCATACCTCGATTATAGACTGACCAGTTAATGTTGTCCAAGTAGCACCACCAGGCTAGCTAGATTGGTTCAAATAATAAAATCTAGACTGATTCTAATTAATTATACAATACATGCTAATATATAATCTTTCAGTAGCAGTTTGCATATACTAAATTTGTGATTGTTGACAGAGAGGGAGAGAAAATGAGCTTAACAAATTGCAGCGTCCCTGCATATTCACGGAACTGCAACCTAATCAATATGGTCGACTGGTTTTTTGCGAAATGTGCGGTGACCCGGTCGTTGGCCCTGGCTATAATGGAAACAAAGATCCTCCCAACCTCACTCTCCATAAATCATGTGCAAAGCTACCCCGTGAGATTCAACATCCAATGCATCGGAAGCACCCGCTTATTCTTCGCAAACTTAGATACTACTCGATGACTAAGTGTGATGCATGTTCCCAACGCTGTAGAGACAACCATACTTACACTTGTTCCCAATGTGACTTCAACCTCGACCTCAAATGTGCTTCCAATTGGCGGAACATTGGAAATTATGACTGCCATGACCACCAATTCACCGTCCTTCGGAAGCGAATGAAATTCACTTGCGATGCATGTAACAAACATGGGAATGGCGTCGCCTATCTCTGCAGCATCTGCCAGCTTTTGGTCCATGAGGAATGCACTTCGTTACCACGCCAGATCAAAATAACTGCGGACCAACACCCTCTCGTGCTCAAGTGGTCCTTTGGGGTGGTTCAGCCCCGGAATCAATTCTGCAGAGTCTGCCACAAACCCATGAAGAAAGAAAGAGCTGTATATTCTTGTCAACATTGCAGCTGCATTGCTCATAATAGATGTGTAATGAAGGAGGACGTTCGAGATGAAATAATTGCGCTGGAGAAAGAAAGGCATGGCCATACAACTACCAAAATCGTTGACGATGAGTCCAAAGCTACGATGCTTGGTGAGGCCCGGCAGGGCGACGACGGGATAGAATTAGCTGCACAAATCAAACACTTTAGTCATAATCATTTGTTGGTCCTGAGAGATAAAGTGCAAAAAGATGATAGAATTACTTGTGACGGTTGCATCGAACCTATCACAGATGCCTTTTATAGCTGTATAAAACAAGAAGAAGATGATTGTCATTTCTTTCTCCACAAGACATGTGCTCAATTACCAACGGAGAGGCTTCACCCATTTCACCCACACTTGCTCAAACTCCTCCCAAAGGCACCGTCTATGGATGGCATGTTCGAGTGCCATGCATGCAGCAGCTTCAGTCACGGCTTCCTCTACAGCTGTGAAAGATGCCAGTTCTACCTTGACCTCCAATGCAATACTCTTTCCAACTCTCTTACACATCCGGCTCATAGACACCCCCTCACCTTCAACACAATGGATGACAAGGGACAGTCCTACATATCGTCAATCCGAGGCATATTAAGGAGGAGCAACCCTTCTTGTCGAGGTTGTGGTAATTATAGTCAACCAGCTGTCCGCTTCAGTTGTGTCAACTGCAATTTTCATCTGTGTATCGAATGCATTCAACTACCTCTTACTGCAAGTCACAGGTACGACAATCATCCTCTCAAGCTCACCCATCGTCGGGTTAAATATGAACTGGGAGAATGTTATTGTCAAATATGCGAAGGAGAACGAGACTCAACACATTGGTTTTATTGCTGCAAAGATTGTGACTTCGATTGTCATCCTCATTGCGTTGTTGGGAGGTATCGCCATGTCAAGTTAGGGAGCACTTACAAGCATGCTCACCAACACCTTGTCACCCTTGTTGAGAAGAAAAAGAGTGCCATTCCTTTTGATAAGAGAGATAACATTCTTCCTTGTGAGGCATGTGGTAAACCTTGTGAAGGATTGGTGTTTGAGTGTTCTCAGTGTAATATCAATATCCACCGAATAGGATACTGTTAAAAGAAAATTCTAAATTCTCAGAATGTCTAAGATTTGTTTCGAATTTACTGGTTCTGGTTCCATACATTCTTTCATACATAGTATGCATAATCATAGCTTAGCAGATCATTGTTGATTTTCTACTACTTGTCCCTTCGCTATATAATAAAGAGGGTTAACCACTAACCTGTTCAAATTTTAATCAAGTTGGCATCCATATGATATAGCAGCAGAGTATTATAGCCTTGTTGGTTTCTTGTTTGAGAAGCAGTCCAAAGGCTTCAGCTATATCAGTTTTCACTTTTGCTTTGTAAATAATCCTCATGAATATAATTTTCTGATCAGCATAACCAAGATCACACATTGAAAGCAGCAAATTGGTTCATGCACACTTTTATGCAGGGGATTGTGCCGGCAGAATTCCTGTAAAATATCTTATAAATGAAATTGTTAGATTATTAAATTTTTTTGTCTTGCTAAGTGATGCAGGAGCACGTACGAAGCTCTCTAAGATTACTTAGGCCCGTCAGTCAATTGGGCTAGGGTTCTACCCCTTTAAAAGGTTTTTTAGGTTTTAGACATAAATTTTTTTTCACTTTTGGAAAAAGCCAAAGCTTTTTCAAAAAAGACAAAAAAACCGCTCAACTTTTAAATCAAAGACATGCAAATGTATTGGATTCCTTAGGAAATCTAAAAATAAATAAGGGCATTTTTGTCCATTTTTGCTTCTTTTAAAATTTTTCTCTCTCCTTTTGCTTTTTCTAAAATGTACTTTAAATTATTATTTACTTCTTTTGTTTTCCTATTCTTAATTATTAGGATTTGGTTTAATATCCTGTTTAGGTTTTTAATTTCCTATGTCAATTATGTTTTCTGTATTCTAGTATAAATAGGCTAGTTAGAGACTCTTGTATGAAGTTTTTGTTAATGAATATAATCTCATACGCAAGTCTATAGAGTTTCTGTTGGAATTTTGCCATAGAACTCAATTATCTTTGTTCCAACTTCAGTTCTATTGCTTTATCCTTCTATTCTCTGTATTTTGGGTATGTTTGGGTATGTTTGGGTCACTAGACAACAACTCATAGCCGCTACCCTGCATCACTAAGAGCATCCATAGTGGGGGGGTGTATATGGGGGTGTATGTTAAATATACACCCCGAGTCATCAGAATCGTCTCCAATGAGGAGATGTAAATAGATGTAAATATACATCACCACCATGGAGATGTAAAATAAAATGTATATTTACATCTATTTTTACATCTCTTGCAAGCGGGACCCACCCGAGAAAAGAGAAGAAAAATAAAGAAAAGTCAACACCCCCGAATTTACACCCCCCACTAGAGCAAAAAACATATTTACACCTCCCGGAGGTGTAAAGGGGATGTAAAAGTGGTTTTACACTCCCGAGTTTACACCCCCCACTGTGGATGCTCTAAGCCTACTAAATTTGATATAATAGAAAAGAATGAAACATATATATAGTAAAAAGAAACCTAACAATTTGGGTAACATGGTGGCCCAATCAAGGTATCATTAAGTAATGTTAAGGCAAAAAGATCCAAATAATTGTACAGGGTATCAACTAAAGCACCTTTTGGCTTTTGACTAACTTATCTACATTGCTAAATCTTAAATTATCTACGATTTTGTTAATGTTCCACAATGCCAACAGAAGTTGTCAGCATAATATATCCAAATTTGTTGAGCCTTCCATTTAGTTCAACCCCAGAAGTTTTACCAGCCCTGTGACATCAACACACTCAATCTCTGGAAAGTATCCATGCTTCTGCTTCTTTGAGTTTAGGGTTTAGGCCCTAAACCCTAAACCCTAAACCCTTGGCCCATTCTCTGCCTTGTACATGCTCTTAAGAGCATCATTCAGAAAACTAAATTTTACCACTGTAGCATCACCAGAGCTGCTCAAATTTGGATCTTCAAATCCAAGCCCTGATGACCTGCACCAAATCTGTAGAAAACACAAAGAAAGGAGCCTTAGGCCTTGTTTGGTGGGCAGACTAGACTGGATATATTCAATTAGAATGGACACAAAGGACTGGACTTGATATTTTATTTTATTTTTCTCTGAAATTCAGATGTCGAAAGCTATGGTTTTTTACGCTATAAATTGAAGCCCATTTTCTGTTGTATCTCAATGCTCTGTTCTTTTGTTCTTCTACTCGCTTTTCTGCTTCGTTCTTCTGCCCATTTCTTGATCTGCTTCACTTCTTCTGCTAAAACAATTTTCGGCCAATTGTATGGTCCTGAGTTTTTATCTTGGTTTTCGTGTATTCTCTTCAATCTTGTTTTTTATTCCTTCGAAAATTTTCAGATGTGGAACCCATTAACATCTTTCAAATTGCTTTAATTTTTCGTCAGATCTGGAACCCAGTTTTCGTTTGTGCGTTTATTTTTATTATTTTTTCAAAATGTTCATGTGTTCTTGTGGTGAATCTTTCAAATTTCACAGCTTCATACTATCCCTTTTTTTCTTTTATTTCAATTTATATTTTTGTACTTCTGTTTTGCTAGACTATAATTTTGTTCATTATGGGAAAAATAAATAGTTTTTAATCTCATAAAGAAAAGATACTTAAAAAAATCTGATAATAAAATTATTATGTTTTCCAGTCCAGTATAGAGTAAGTATAGCACCAAACAACAGACTTAAAGTATGGTCAAGTCTCAACCAGTCCAGTCCAAATTTTGAAATCCAATCCAGTCTTTTTCTAGCCGCTCACCAAACATGGCCTTAATGTATAAGTTGTTAGAGTTTGAGTGTTTAGCTGGGTTTATATTGAAGATTAGATTAGAGGAAGAAACTGAGAGAATAGAGAAAGATTCAAAACTGAAGAAAAAATGCTCTGCTCACTCTCAAAGTCTGAGAGTGAGTGTATATTCAGTATATCCAAAACACGCACTGAAGGCATGAGTACATAACCGTTAGACTTAGCTGGATGCACACAACCAACAATACAATCTTAGCCTTACACTTGTCATAATCTAAGACTAAGTGAATACACAATTTAAAACAAGGCTTATTTACTTTAACTTTACTTAGCTCACAGCTTATACACTAATACTCCCCTTTAAGCTTTGAGCTGATACAACTCCAAGCTTATCTCTGAGATAGTTGAATCTCTCTTTTGGTAAGGCCTTGGTAAAAATGTCTGCAACTTGTTCTTTGGTTGGACAGTATACCAAATCAACAATTCCCTGCTGCAAGGCATCCTTTATGAAGTGATATCTTCTATCAATGTGCTTAGTCCTTTGGTGAAACACAGGATTTTTAGTTATTGAGATTGCAGATGTATTGTCACACTGCAAAGGAGTTGCTTCAGCTTGTAACTCTCCAAAATCTTCAAGAACAAACTTGAGCCATATAGCTTGAGTTGTTGCTTCAGCAGCACTTATATACTCAGCCTCTGCAGTGGAAAGTGCAACACAATTTTGTTTCACAGAGGCCCATGAGAACACTCCACTGCCAAAGGAAAAAGCATAGCCTGAGGTACTCTTGCTGTCATCTAGTGATCCTCCCCAGTCACTATCACAAAAACCAACTAAAACAGCCTTCTTGCCTTTCATATAATGCAAACCGTAGTCCAATGTTCCTTTGATATATCTGAGCACTCTTTTAGCTATCCCATAATGCTTGTTAGAAGGACCATGCATATATCTAGCTAATAAGCTAGCTGCATACATCACATCTGGCCTTGTAGCAGTGAGATACAATAAACTACCTACAAGCTTTCTGTATTTCTCTTCATCTGCAACACCACTTCCATCTTCTTTACTTAACTTTTCAGTAGCCACAAGAGGAATAGAAACAGATTTACATTCTTTCAATCCAAACTTATCCAACAGGGAAGAAGCATACTTCTTTTGATGAATGAAAATGCTAGATTCTGTTTGAATCACCCCCATTCCCAGAAAATGATGAAGAAGACCCAAGTCTGACATCTCATACTTCTCCTTCATATCTTCTTTGAACTCATCCAACATGTCTTGGTTGTTTCCAGTATACACTATGTCATCCACATAGATGGAGACTATTAGTATATCATTTTCTCCTCTTGTCTTAGTGTAGAGGGTTGCTTCACTTAAGCTTTTCTCAAACCCACACTTAGCAAAATAGCTGTCAATCTCTCCATACCAGGCCCTAGGTGTCTGTTTCAAGCCATAAAGAGCCTTGTACAATTTGTAGACCTTATCTTCCTTGCCATTAATCACAAACCCTTCAGGTTGATCAACATACACTTCTTCCTGCAATATTCCATTTAAGAAAGCAGACTTAACATCTAATTGAAATAGCTTCCAGCTTCTTTGTGCAGCAAGAGCAATCAGAGTTCTGATTGTATCCAATCTAGCAACTGGAGCAAATGTTTCATTATAGTCAACACCCGGTTTCTGCACATACCCTTTAGCAACCAGCCTTGCCTTGTTCTTTTGTACAGAGCCGTCTAAATTCAACTTGGTTTTGAACACCCATTTCACACCAATAACCTGCTTATCACTTGGTCTGTCTACAAGCTCCCAAGTTTCATTTTTCTCAATCATGGACAGCTCTTCTTCCATTGCTTTTATCCAAGCCTTATCCTGTGCAGCCTCTTCATATTTTTCAGGTTCCACAATGCAGAGATTGCATTGTGCTAGAATGTCATTTATGTTTCTCCACTTCAATGGAGTATGATCATAGGGCTGAGAGATATCTGCATGCTCATGAATGACATTCTCTTGTTCTTCAGCATGAGAGAAAATGCAAGGACTAGAAGGACTTCTCTCAACTTCAATAAACTCATGTGAAGTCACTTCAATTCCATTTACAGGTTGATTTGGAATATAAGTCACAGCAACAGAATTTTCTGAAGTTTCCTTCCAGTTCCAGGACTTGGTTTCATCAAAAATCACATCCCTTGACAAAATCAGCTTCTTAGTGCTTGGATCAAATACTCTGTACCCTTTCTCACAGGTTGCATACCCCACAAACACACCTTTGACAGACTTTGCATCAAGCTTTTGTCTTCTTTCAGTTGGTACATGCACATAACAGAGTGATCCAAACACCTTTAAGTGACCAATTCCTGGTTTTCTCCCACTATAGGCTTCAAAAGGAGTTATGTTATGAAGAGCTTTTGTAGGTGATCTGTTTAGAATATAAACAGCTGTATGTACAGCTTCTGCCCACAGAAAGTATGGCATGCTTTTATCGTGAAGCATTGCCTTAGCCATCTCTACAACTGTTCTATTCTTTCTCTCCACTACTCCATTTTGCTGTGGAGTATAAGCAATGGATAACTGTCTTTGTATGCCTTCAGATTCCAATAACTTGCTGAATTTAGTTGAGAGAAATTCTCCCCCTCTGTCACTCCTTAGGCATTTCACTTTGAATCCACATTGTAACTCCACCATTGCTTTGAACTTTCTGAAACAGATTAGTGCCTCAGATGTATGTCTTAGGAAATAAACCCATGACATTCTTGTGTGATCATCAATAAGCAACATGAAGTATTTATTCCCAGCAATTGATTCATTTTGCATGGGACCACACAAATCTGTGTGTACCAATTCTAGAGGATTCTTAGCTCTCCAAGCTTGTCCTTTTGGAAACCAATCTCTGTGTTGTTTTCCCATTTGACAGCCTGCACACACACCATTAACATCTTCAAGGTGTGGAAGACCATGCACCATTTCGTTTTCTCTAAGCTGCTTGAGGCTTCTAAGATTTAGGTGTCCTAGTCTCTTGTGCCAAATCCAGGTACATTCAGTCACACTAGCCTTCAATGCAATTTGATCAGTTTGCATTAAAGACAGAGGGTAGCACCTATTATTTTTCATTTTAACCTTGATAATCAGACAATCAAGTGAAGGACCATCAAAGATACAACACTCTCTTCCACCAAATAGCAAATAATATCCATGTTCATCCATCTGTCCCACACTCAACAGATTTTCTTTCAAACCAGGTAGAAACATGACTTCCTTGATGCATTTTCTGCCAGAATTTGTATCAATCATAAGTGAACCTATTCCAGCAACATCTACCAGATTTCCAGTGGGCATTTGTCCTTTTCCAGTGACATTTGTCCTTACATCAATAAGAAGCTCAACATTTCCAGTCATGTGGTTGCTACAACCACTATCAATGTACCAGTTCCCATTCACCTTGACCTCAGTAATTGCACTGTTAGCATAGAACAGATTGCCTGTTACTTTTGCTTGATTAGCACAGTTTGCCTTCTGAACAACCCTGCCTGCTGTGCATTCTCTAGCCCAATGCCCAAACTTATCACAGTTATGACATTTGGATTGCCCCTTGTACCGACATTCTCCAAAGTGAAACTTAGAGCACACCTTGCACTGTGGCTTGACTGCATCTTGTTTCATGGATCCTGCAAAAGTTGAATTCTGTGCAGGATTAGCAAATGACCTTTGCTGGGACTGAGGCTTTGAATCCCACTTCTTGCCCTTTCCATTCCAGTTTTTCTTAGATTCACTTGACTGAGAATTACCCCGTTGTTGCTGACCTTTTGGATTCACAGAAAAAGAGCCAAAAGCCTTATCAATAGCATCAATAGTGTGCATATCAAAGCGTTGTTCCTGGCTCTTAAGAATTGCCAAAACCTCCTGCAAATCAACCTTGTCTATACACTTCGTATTCTCAATCACAAGACAAATGGGATCATAAGGTTTGCTAAGACTTATTAAAACCCTTTGCACAAGCCTTTCATTAGACAATACCTCACCAAACGTCTTCATTTGGTTAATCAGTTCATTCAACCGTGTAAGATACCCAGATAACGTTTCATCATCACGCATTCTAGTATACTCGAATTCACGTCGAAGATTTTGAAGTTTAACTGATCGTACCTAATCACCACCGTGATATTCACCATATAGCAGATCCCATGCCATCTTCGCTGTATCAGCATTGGCAATTCGAGGGAATATTTGATCCGAGACTGCATTCTGGATAATACCCAGAGCTTTCGCATCTCGCATATATTTTGCCACAGTTTTCTCATCGTCTTCCTCTTCTGCGCTTCCTTCAGCCGTCTTCTTCTTTGAATCAGAGATCGTAACCCCCTTTTCAACTAATTTCCATAACCCATGAGATTTAAAGATTGTCACCATCTTGATTCTCCAGAACTCGTAGTTCTCACCGGAGAAGATCGGAGTTCTCACCTCAGAACTTCCAGATCCAGCCATCTCTTAGCTTAGATGATACGAATCTCAAATCGAAATCGGAATCGGAATCGATGGGGTTCAACGATTTCACCTGAACCAGAACGAGCTTGAGTACAGCTCGATTGCAGCAACGTCGCACAGTCTACGCCCAGATTTCATATCGAACCTGGCTCTGAGGCCATGTTAGAGTTTGAGTGTTTAGCTGGGTTTATATTGAAGATTAGATTAGAGGAAGAAACTGAGAGAATAGAGAAAGATTCAAAACTGCAGAAAAAATGCTCTGCTCACTCTCAAAGTCTGAGAGTGAGTGTATATTCAGTATATCCAAAAACACGCACTGAATGCATGAGTACATAACCGTTAGACTTAGCTGGATGCACACAACCAACAATACAATCTCAGCCTTACACTTGTCATAATCTAAGACTAAGTGAATACACAATTTAAAACAAGGCTTATTTACTTTAACTTTACTTAGCTCACAGCTTATACACTAATATAAGTGCGCACAGAACAAGAAAATGTGAGAAATGTAAACACACAACAGCAACTGGAAAAAATTATTACCCATATGAACAAAAATTCTAAACCCATAAAAAAATTTAGATGAAAACCCTAGGACTTGATATTGACTCTTCAAGTGTAAACCCTGCAGTCTTCCGAAAGCCAAATATTTTTAATACCATTGTAAGCCCAGCCCTCTCCAATGGTTAAACTAGAACCCTTTGTTCCCATGTTCTCTTAAAGTTGGAGTAAACTTCCAAGTCCAAAGTAGTCCCAAAAACATATTTTGGCCACTCAAAGTGACATGTGATTGTCTTCACAGACAATTAAGTATCAGATTGTCTGTAATTTATAAATTCCCCTGATAATATTCAACAAAAGCATTTTCTCAGTAGCTTGAATAAAATTGACATTCAACTTTTGAGTAAGATTAAATTTCACTGAACCTAAAGGCATGAGAAAAGTATTTTCTTAGTGTCTTCATTGAACTAAGCAAACTTCTCTCGCATTGCAGACTTGAAACATAATTAAATTTTCTGAGTAAAGAAGCAAAAAAAGGCTCACAACATTAGCCACAAATGAACAACGTACTTCAATCGAGTAAACACTTGAATTTAACTGCTTGGATGTACATACCAAGAGTTTAACATCTTATCATTTTCCAAAATGGCACAGCAGAGTGAGGCATTGAGGTAAACGTAGTCCAAACCACAATTCCAGGGTTAGGATAAATGTTGGATCTGTTGGATAGGCTATACTTATTCAATGGAGCTCAAATTCGAATATGTTGTACCCATTGGAACAAGTTTCATGAAAAACCACCTCATCTGAGCAATAGAGCATGGTGATCCACAGCCAAGAAGTTAACCAACGAAAATGAGTAAAAACATAATTTATATCCAATAATGCATTTTTATCTCACTTTCATTCTAATCAAGGTAAAATTTATAAAAACACAAAAAAAGAAGTAAAAGACTATAAAATGTCAAGAACTAACTCAAAATATTGGGTGAATGACATGATAAATCATGTATAAAAATAAACACAACATAAAGCCAAACCCGTGCCTACACCGGTTGTTGGTGGACGTCATCTTAGCATCTCTGATGGCGATCCTCTCTCTAGTCTCACTGAGTACCGTAGTATTGTTGGTGCTCTTCAATACTTAACCCTTACTCGCCCGGACATTGCCTTTGATATTAATCAAGTTTGTCAGTTTTTGCATCAACCCACTACTGTTCATTGGCTTGTTGTTAAGTGCATTCTTTGTTATCACAATGGCATGCTTACTCATGGATTACTCTATTCGCCAAGCACTCTTCATCTCAGCGCCTATTATGATGCCGATTATGGGGAGGATCCCGACGATCGTCGCTTCACTAGTGGCTATTGCATTTATTTCGGTACTAACTTAATTTCTTAGAGCTCTAAAAAGCAAAGCGGTGTCTCCTGCTATAGTACTGAGCCGGAGTACCGTCAGCTTGCCCACACTGCCGCCACTCTGTCTTGGTTTCGAGCTTTGTTTCTTGATCTTCATCTTCCAGTTCATTGTCCTAAGCTTTGGTGTGACAACATTAGTGCTCTCTCTTGCCTAAAATCTGGTGTTTCACTCTCACACTCGTCATGTTGAGGTTTATTATCATTTTGTTTGTGAAAAGATGGTGCGCAATGAGTTGCTTGTTGCTTATTATTCTACCGTTGATCAAATTGCTGATATCTTCACTAAGGGTCTATCTCCTGCTTGATTTTCCTTACTTCAGTCCAATCTACCTGTGCTCCCCTGCCCCGTCAGCTTGCGGGGGTGTAATGAGACGTGATCCTTAAAGGATTTAGTTTTCTATTTATTTGTATTTATTTCCTAGATTTGTTGGATATATTCATTGTCTCTCAAGGACTTGATTCTTGCCTAAAATAAGAAATCCTTGGTGTAGACACCTAGCAAAGCACTGTATATAATTATCACATTATTGGTGAATGAAAATCATTGAGAATATTCAAAACCCTTCAAGTATGAACATTAATATTAGGACTTAATTATTGAATTTGCCCTTGAAGCACAATTCTAGTTTCATTTTGCCCCTGAAACTCAGGCAACTATGCCTGGCAAAGTGCGACATGGAGTTCCAATGGGTAAAGCGACACAAATTGAGTTTTAGGAGCAAAGTGAGACTACAACTGAGGTTTAGGGGCAATTCAACAATTAAGCCTAATATTAAAAAACATGGAAGCACAATCAGACAGCACTATTTTGCAGCGAATATTTTTAGTGATGATGAGAAGCTTCTATAGATTCTGCAGCTAGCCTGAATGTAGAGCAAAGAATATACTACAACTCCTCAAGCAATCAACGCACCAAACAAAGGGCAAAGGTGTTTTATTAAAGCAACAACCTTCCCCTTTTTTTATCAGTTTATGATACCTTGAAATATTATGAAGCCATTCTTATATATCTTTTTTCTTTTTTCTTTAACTTTTTTCTTTTTTCTCCCTCTTTTTTTTAAAGAAATAAAAGATAGTGGAAGTTAATTGGATCCAAATTCGTACTCTACACCTTCAAAAAAATTCTATTTTTATTAATTAATTAAAAATGACAGATTCCAACTTGAGAGCTCCATCAATATTTGGAAGAGAATTACAAGGATGATCGAGTTGGATTTATTTGAGACTTTTTGAGAGAGTGAACTTCAATAAAGAAAAAGAAAAAAAGAAAGAAAAAATGGATTCTTTCACTTTTCCTTTTCTTAACTTTTACGATGCTTTGACTGGCCCACCAGGTTCTCCAAAGTGATTGCTATAAGAGAGGCTGCTATGATTAGTAAGTTGTGGACCTTGTGGTGAAGAGATTACACAGTTGACTTGACTCTCATAGTTGTAAAGCAAATTCTCATTGCTCTTCTGCACCAACCACTCATCAGGTTTGCTCTCTATCTATCTTTGATTTGATTATCTTCATTTTCAGCTTTATTCATTTTCTTTGGTTTAACTTTAGGTGTTAATTTGGTGTTCAAAACACCATGTCATGAACTGAATATATTCTGATTGTTTGAAACTTGCATAAGCTTGCTTTAAATTCATTTCTGTATTTTTTATATTTTTTTTTCCATTTATTCTGTTCTTGTGTTAGTATGGGTTGTTGCTATAAATATTGCTGTTCCCAGACTTCAATTCTCCCCAACATTGTCTTTGTTTCTTCTAATCTTAGTTCGTAATTTTGTAGTTTTTATTCTTGAAAAGTTTAGATAATTTTTAAAGCCATTTCTTCGAGTGCCTTTTGAGCTCTGAAGTCTGAACCATATAATGCATTTTACGGAAGCTTTAATTTTCATCCAAATGGGGCAGTTTTTGCTGTAATTTTGGCATTCCTAAACCAAGAAATTACAAGATAAATAATTAAATATTTTTCACCACTTTTGTTTTATTTTTGTTTTATTTTTTATTTGGTTAACAATTGCAGACTAATGGTTCTGAGGTATACAATGGAAGATACCCTCTTTCATTGGTTTTAATTAAGCTACAAAATCTAGTTCTTTAGCAACACCAAGGATTTAAACAACTAGGCTAGCAAATGATTAATTTCAATCCAGGCGCTAAAAATAAACAGCATAAACTGGCACCTTTCCAGTTTTAGCTACTCACCGGTGAGGAAAAACCGAGTTTCTTTTAACCTTTTTAAGGAAGTTTTAGCAACTGAAGAATTTGGTGATAGTTCTAATTACATTGCCCCAAAGTCAAGTAGGCATGTCAAGATTTGAATGGATTTAGTTTAATTTGATCTTATCCCTTATGCTATGAGTGCAAAAAACAACATTTTTTTTTCCCATTTGCTGAAAAATCTACTATTTTATTTTATTCTTATGAACGTTTCATGTATATGTTGATCTTTTTTATTTTTTTGGGAGTCAGCAATGGCTTTAGGCACAGAGGAACGGATAAAAAAGATATTGGAGTCGCTGAAGAAAGATGATGTCACAACAGTCGTTCTTGATGGGAAGCGTGGAGTAGGGAAAACGTGGACGGCAAGAGAGATAAGCATGCAGAAAGACTCAATATTCCATGACAGTCTATGGCTATATCTGAATAACAAATATGACAGCAAGTCTCTTCATGAGAACCTTGCCAGGCAGATGTCTCTATTCTCTATTCACGAGGAATGCGAAGATGATGATGTTGAGGAGGAGGAGAAGGAGATCTTGGAAAATTTGAAGCTGAAAATATCCAAGAAGCTTCAAGATGTGATATCTGCAGCATGTAAAAACAATAAACTTTTTCTACTAATTCTGGATGATGTTCCTCATGAGCAGGATGCAGAAGAGATTATGACAGAACTGAAGAAACTGCTGAATCCAAATGACCTCAGTTGTTTAAAGGTCTTAATCACTAGAGATGAAAGTGATGGCAAACTTACAGCAGAGGGGAGGAATGAAGAGATTCGGACCAGCAATACAAGGTTGTGCAATATATATGTAGATCAATTGTCTACAGAAGAGTCCAAGATCTTATTGAAAGAAAAAGTCAAG